GGCATCATCCCATGGGCAAGGCTCCACTCGAGGGAGTTGCAGTGGTTCCTCCTACCCTACCAGAGGAGGAACCTCAGCACCTCCAACAGGAGTGTGCTGGTACCAGCACAGGTGATGAAATCACTAAAATGGTGGCTATCCCCCACGACACTCAAGGGGAGCATATTCAGGGAACCGAACAGGGTCACACTCACGACAGACGCGAGCCTGTTCGGATGGGGAGCCCACCTGGGAACACAGATAGCACAGGGCCAGTGGGGACAGAAGGACCTGTCACACAGCATCAACTGGCTAGAGCTCCGGGCCATACACCTGGCCCTCCGCCATTTCTCACACCTAGTAACGAGGAGGCACGTCCTCGTACTAACAGACAACGTAGCAGCCAAGGCACATGTAAACAAGGAGGGAGGAACGAGATCAGTGGAACTAATGAAAGAAGCATTGGCTCTGGCTCGGTGGGCAGAAGCCAATGTGAGTTCCATCAGAGCGGAACACATCTCAGGGGAGACAAACACCCAGGCAGACTCCCTGAGCAGAGCCAAGGTGGACCAGTCGGAATGGCGTCTGGACCCGGCTCTCTTCGAGGAGATCTCCCGGAGGTTCGGACAACCGCACCTAGATCTATTTGCCAACCACAAGAACACACAACTCCCCAGGTTCTTCTCCAGATTCCCGTCCCCGGGATCGGAGGGAACGGATGCTCTCAGGTGCCGGTGGCCGGCGCAACTCCTGTACGCCTTCCCACCGCTGCCACTAATACCGGCAACCATACGCAAGATGATCGTGGAGGGCGCAGAAATGGTCTGCATTGCCCCTCACTGGCCACGGCGCCCGTGGTTTGCCGACCTCGTGGACCTTTCGATATCACCTCCGTGGAGGATTCCCCCGGACAGGGTAAAACTCAGTCAGGGCAAGCTCGTACACCCAGACCCCCAGTGGCTACATCTAGCCGCTTGGCATTTGAGCGGCAAAGCTTAACTAAACAATCTTATTCTGCAGGGGTGATATCGATCATACAGGCATCACGAAGAGCGTCCACTAATAGGATTTACGACGCTACATGGAAGGGATTTTGTAGGTGGTGCGCTTCGCTTCACCTAGACCCGACCGCAGTATCTATACCCAATATCCTAGATTACCTATTGGAGGGTCTTAATAAGGGCCTGTCAGTCAATACTATCCGCAGACAGATATCGGCCCTCTCAACTGTACTCTCCTGCGACAACTTAACTTCCCTAGCACAGCATCCAGCGGTTAATGCCTTTTTAAAAGGGGCATCTAACACAAAGCCCCCAGTCATACACAGGTACCCGTCCTGGAACCTGCCTAAGGTCCTTCTAGCCTTGACATCAGCACCCTTCGAACCTCTTGAAACATGCTCACTCCATCACCTATCACTGAAGGTAGCTTTCCTTGTGGCAATTACTTCAGCAAGGAGAATCTCAGAACTAGCAGCACTGTCAGTAAGGAAGGATCTGTGTACCTTTTTCAAAGACAGGGTCGTTCTTAGACCAGACCCGACCTTCATCCCGAAGGTAAATAGCATCTTTCACAGATCTCAGGAACTTACGCTTCCTGATTTCTGTCCAAGACCCAAACATAGGCTAGAACACAGATGGCACAAGCTAGACGTACGGAGAGCACTGTGTTTCTACGTGAAACGCACCTCGGCTTTCCGAAAGACTGAAGCATTATTTGTGTCCTTTCAACCATCAACTATGGGAAAGAAGGTATCTTCTTCCACCATAGGCAGGTGGATCAGAGCCTGCATAGCGCAGACCTACGTCTCACAGGATTTGCCAGCACCCACTCAGGTGACTGCCCACTCAACTCGGAGCGCAGCCACATCTGCGGCGTGGCTAACGCAAGCTCCGGTGGAAGAGATTTGCAGGGCCGCAACCTGGTCCTCACCTTCGGTTTTCATTCGACATTACCGTTTAGACTCCCTAGCAGCAGCAGACGCGGCTTTTGGCAGAAGAGTTCTTCAACAGGTCGTATCTGCTCAGAGTTCGGTAGCCTAGACATTCCCTCCCAGGGGGACATGAGGGCTTTGGTATGTCCCATCCATTTGGACTCTACAGTCATCCTGCTGGAGAAGGGGCGTTGTCTTACCTGAACGCCTTTTCTCAGCAGGATGATGTAGAGTCCAAGCCCACCCAGAGGATAGGTCTAGGCAGGGATATAATAAAGATATAATAAAGAGCTGCAAGGTTAATTCCAACAAAGTTTCTCGCCTAAGTCAAAACTGGGGTCACGCCCAAAGGAAGGGGTGTGGCCGAAGTTTTTACCCAGTCTGCCAGGCAGGAAGGCCGTCATAGAACCCATCCATTTGGACTCTACATCATCCTGCTGAGAAAAGGCATTCAGGTAAGACAACGCCCCTTCTCAGTCATAGGAAGTAGTTGTTTCATTCAAACTCCACTTACTGTAGAGTATTATAGCCAGTTCTGGGCATCACATTTCAGAATAACAGAAGTTAGAAGGAACCCTAGCAAAGGGAAATCATCAAAAATTAAAAAACGAAAATTAGAACATTTTGGACATGTAATGCGACACCCAGAAAAATATGGCATGCTCTATTTAATCCTCCAGGGAAAGATTGAAGGCAAAAGTGGTCCAGGCAGAAGAATAACATCGTGGCTTCAAAATTTAAGGGACTGGTTTGGACAAAACTCAGCAGCACTTTTTCGTGCGGCTGCTGATAAAAACAGGATCGCCAACAGGATCGCCAACGTCCGATAACGGATATGGCACAAGAAGAAGAAGAAGAAGGAACCTTGGAAGTCTTCTAATCCAGGGATCCTCAACTGTAGCAACTTTACGACTTGTGGACTTCAACTCCCAGAATTCCTCAGCCAGCTTTGAAGTCCACAAGTCTTAAAGTTGCCAAGGTTGAGGACCCCTGTTCTAATCCAATCACTGGCTCAAGCAGGAGACCCTATTCCATCCAAAATGTACAGTGGCAAATTAGAATCAATTCAGTGGAAGGCTGTCAAGCTGATGAGTTTGAAGAACAAGTAAAGAAACTAGGTATATCTAGTCTATAGAAGATATTATTGGTAAGAGATAGGATAGCAGTCTTCACATATCTGTGATGCAAGATATGCGATATAAAAGTCACATCACAAAGAAACTGTAAAAAGTTGTAGAGAGCTAGAGTCATGGTTCCCAACAATCTTTAAAAGTATTGCACAGGTATTTTTAACTATTCAAATGCTAGATACAAGATTAATTATTGTAATTAAAAGAAATGGCATACTCTTTTCTTTTTTTAAACTGAACACAGTAGAATTTTCCCTTTAGAATAAATTTAGTTTTCACAAATTTAAATTCAGTTCTATGACAATAATACAAATGTTTTTATTCTAATGTTTCTAAACAGTCCTTATGTGAAAATCCTTCTGTTTCTACAGTGTATCTGAACTTGGTTTCCAGCAGGAGATTTGATTTAAATTGGTTGAACTGAATGTACAAAAATGTACAAAAATATTTTAAATGCCAGAAAATGTATTTCTAATCTTTCTTGGCTTATAACCAATTTCCTCAGATTTTTCATTTGTTAACCTGAGAAAGAAAGAGAGTTTTTCAAGTTGCAGATTAATGAATAATAACATTATAGGGAAATGAAATCAATAAAGTATATAATGTTATATAATGACAGTAGCTATTCACAAAACTTTAGGTGTGATAGTGATAATATTAGACAACTGATTAACACATATACTATGATAAGAATCTCTGCTTAATCTGTTTTACTTTCCAGAAACTGAACAGAATTTCATCTACCTCTCCAGCCGTTCCTATTGACTGCTATTTTTATTCTAAATATACAATTAATATTAATATTACATCATTTTATCTATCATTGTCCAAATATAGTACTAATATTTAGGAAAATGCTATAGTCTGCAGAAGTCATAAAACACGGAAATGAATCTTTCAGATAAATGTATTTATGTAAACTTGGAATTGAGTGCTTCAGACAGCAGAACTGCCTCAGTATGTAATTAATTATTTCGAGATAGAAATACTTTAATACTGTCCCAGTTGTTTAATATTCTGAGAGCAGGATAGAGAAAAATTTACAATTCTATGAAAAAACCAAACATAATTACCAACATGTTTTAAAGAAGCTAGACATTTCTGGAAACCACTTTGCTGCTATATTTATTTAGCATTATTCTTAATTTATCTGTGTAAATTTTTTTATTGATATAATTGAACAATCAGTCTAGTTAATAAATACAAAAGGGTTGTGATGGTGCCCACCATTAACTGTTTTCACTGTGCTTCTTGTGATATCAATTTATTTTTCATTTGTATTTTCATATTTTATATCATGTCAGAGGTTTGCATGCACTCCTGTGGTGAAGTTGTACTCTATTAATATCAGACTCTTGTACAGTTCCATTTGTTAGTTGACTTCCTAAATTCTCCCCTATTACATTTTTTGTTCTGTGATTTCTTTAACTTTTAAAATTAAAAGTTAGTTATTTTGATAGAATATTATGCTAGATATCTGATAATGTATTTATTTGAACTTTTCAAATTATTAATGTTTTGAAGAGAAACAACTAATAATCCATTAGTTCAGGTAAAGTTCATTCTCCATACTGAACAGTACTGGAAACATGATTACAAGAAATTGACATAAATTATCTTAGTCCAATGAATTTGTGTATGTACTTTTGTAATCACACAGATGGAACTTAGTTCTATGTCAAGATAATTCCCAGGCCTGTTCTGAAGTTGTCTTCTCAAATAGAATTGAAAGCTACTTGGTGATTACATTTGAAGTCCAGCATAGTTTTCTGTTTGTACCCTGAAGCTTTTGACCAACACTCTCAAGCAAAAAGTGATCTGTTGTGTATACATGTCTTGTTTTGCTGCTTTCCATTGTGTATTTGAAAAACTGTCCTCACATGTCAACTTAATTCCTTCACGCATTAATGTAACACTTGTTTGTGTATACTAATATTACTGATTATTTCTTGTTTCAGCTATTTGTACAAGAATGAAATCCAGTCAATTGACAGGCAAGCATTTAAAGGACTTGCCTCTCTAGAACAACTGTAAGTGCCTTTTCTCTACTGTGCTGTCATCTGTTTGGTTGCCTCAGAGAAAAAGTGCACGTTTTCCAGTATTTCTTCCCTGCATGCCTTGCATGATTGCACGGAATGGGTCTATGGTCCAGTGTGGTTGCAATCACTGGCATGCAGAAAGCGTATTTGTCAAGTATGTCCTTTCTGTGTTTACATTTTATTTTATATATTATTTTTACTTTAAGACAATTATGTGGCAGTTTCCAAGGGCAAGCATAATTTTAGCACCAAACATAAATGTTCATAAGAATTAGGGCTCCTGTTTCTACAAACAATTTATAGTTTTAATTTACATAGAGTAATTAGGAAAATCCAGACAAATATTTCACTATCTACAGATTATGTATTTGGCTTATTCCATTGGTCATTCAAATGGTTGAACTGTTTCTGGATATCGAGGGAGTAGGAACTTGTGTTGAAAAGATAATTATACCCTCTAATTTTTAAATTTGATTGAAGATTCAGTCATAATATTGCAAATAATTAGCTTAGAAAAGAGGCAGGCCAACAATATTGCCTTCCTATCTCAAGATAGTCACAGGTAATAGGAGTAGCAGTTTGCACACATAATTCTTTAGAGTTCAGTAAAAGGAACTGATAACACTTTGCTGATTTCTGTCATTTAGTGCCATCCCAATAGAAATGTTTTACTCAGTAATATACAATACATATGATAATGCTTGTTTGAATGAACTGCTGTTTCAAGGAACACTTTGCGTTTGAAGTGTCCATATTAATGGACATAAGCGAACCATCATATATTTATTGGCTCTTATTGAAAAAAGCAAGCTGTGATTCTAGGTGTCTGGTAGAAGCTTCAGTGACATCATGAACATCATAACATTTTTGAGCAAGTCATTATATTATTTAGAAAAATAAATTTTAGAGCATGCTGAAAATAGCTATATTTTAAAATGATATCATTTACATTGATTGGGACTTCTAATTCTGATTACTTTGACATAGTCAGAGCAATGGATGGTCAAAAATTGTGTATCATAAAACTGACCAGATTTCATTCTATTCTACCCCAATCACTCTGAAAATAAGCAGGAACAGACAGAATCATTCCCAGGTTTTCCCTCTACCTTCCGTCTTTTGATTACTAAACCAGCCAAGGAACAATCACAGATATTTCATTTGGAAATTATATCCCAAACTATTTTTGGGGTATATTTTTTCCATTACTATTATTTCTTAAAACATATGGAGTCTACATTGGCACAAAATAGGATTATTATCATCACTGTCATTGTCAAAATAGTGCATGCACTTCTGACTATTGAATAATTTTCATAGTTTATATAGGATTTATGTGCATTTTAATGAAGTCTGTTGTGGTGCATACATCCTATTTTCTCTTGCTTGGACCCATCCAGTAGCATGATCAATAAACCGTCTATTGCTTCACATATTATCCTACCTTAGCATATTTTTAAACTCTTTTTGCAAGCTAAAATCATAGGGTTATCCTTTGCTGACAAATCCTGGCTTTTGGGGAGCCACAAATCAAGACTTGGCATATGTTAAAGCAAGCAATTTTATTTTCCATGTGCATTCTTAGAAAGAGCCAAATAAGAATGATTCCTTGTAATACTGCATGCAAATACATCACACAATGTAAATTGAAGAAATATTCCAGTATTAAAGTCTTCCTAAGTTTTGTATAGTTCATTGATATAAAAATATATTGTTAATAGTTAATGGATTGGCCTCAAATACACTTTTAAGCATGAGTGGATTAACCCCAATGACATTCTCATGAAGTTGATCTAAGCCCAATTAGGCTCATTTTCTATGTGATAGAATCCCAGACACTTAATTCTGTCATGGACTGGTTGATACTTTATTCTGCTGAGTATTTACTGCCCAAGGAATGTTTTGATATTCATTGTTCTCAGTTATTACAAAACTTCCTTCCTGAGTTTATTCACTTTCATTTAGTAATCGTGGAATAAATGAGGTAAACTCAAAAACGAGGTTGATTGGAAAGGTAAATGAATCTTTTGTTTTTAAAGTGTATGAATACAAAAAATTTTCCACAGAAGGTTGCTGCTTATTTTGACCTCTTCATCATTTCTCCCCTCCTACAATTTTCAGGTAGATATGGATGAAGAAATCAAATATATCACTTTTCTTCCCCTCTGTCATAGCATCTTTATATGGTAACATGAATTTAATAAGATATGTTGAATCTCATCCTCAGTTCAGAAATGTGCAAATAGTTGATTGTTTCTAACATGTACCTCAAATTCTGGCTTCTGATCTTAGGGTCCGTTTAATAAACCCTCAATTTGCCATTACATCTTCTATACTTCAGGTGTATCTATGATGGAACTCAAATAAGAAAACTAGTAAAAAAAATCATGGTAAATCTGAATCTAGGTTGCACCGTTTCATAGAATTAGTATAGAGATGACAAAATGCGTTTCACATGGAGGACTTTATTAAGATTTCCCCCCCCCCATCTACTTCACTGTGTACGTATTTTTATTAAAATAGAGGGTGGTTCTGTTGTGGAGCTTTTGCTTGCAGCCTGCTGAAATACTTTCTCATTTTTCCAGAGAAGTAGACTGAGATGTATCCCTCATAATAGTTGAGACAGGATACAACAGGCAGAGAAGAACTGCAAGCTAACCTTTCTTGCAAGTTCTCCATCAGTAGCAAACCCTCAAGAAAAATGATTAATGGATAATAAAGATGTAAAAATTGAATGGAAGTAATTAGGCATCCTTTCTATACTTTGTTCTGTAAGTATCCCTGAATTCTTATTTCAGCCACACAGATTTGGAAATAGATATTTGCTGTGGGTCAGTTCACTCTTTTGCATATCTTTCCTTACCATTAGCAAATTTTCATTATATTTTTCTACTTTGGATGCACCTTTTTCACTCTTCTGAGACTAGAAACCCACTATATCTATCAGACTTGCAGCCAATATCACTTAAGTGACAGTACTAGGAAGAGAGCCGTAGACTTTTGAAGGTTAAACAATGTTCCTCGTTTTACATATTCAGGTGTTCCATGGATTTGGTATGTTTATTTCAGCTTCTTTTCTAGACTTTTGGACTTCCTGGCAGTGAGCAGAAAGATTTGGAGTTTTATTTGTGATTGCTTAAATGCAAGAAGAATCCTAAGGGGATTCTGGTTCCTACTAGTTAAGAACCTCTGATGTCTATGGCAACCTAAGCTAAATGTGACCAAGATTGCCTTTCAGACATTAGTGTTCAACCTCATGAGATTGGGAACAAGAAAAGCAGAGCTGAAAACATTGGGGGTGGGTCCCCTTCCATGCTTTTTCCACATATTTTCTCATCCTGTTTGGGCATAATATCTAATATTGTCATATTAGCCACCAAAATAGGAACATAGCTTTTCATCCCATTGAACAGAATTGCAATTCATAGCTTATATTCCATATTCTGTATTATAGCAATAGCATAGCAATAGCACTTGAACTTACACATAGCTTCATAGTGCTTTAGAGCCCTCTCTGAGTGGTTTACAATGTCAGCATATTGCCCCCCAACAATCTGGCTCCTCATTTTACCAATCTCAGAAGGATGGAAGGCTGAGTCAACCTTGAGCCAGTCAGGATCGAACTCCTAACTGTGAGCAGAGTTAACTTGCAGTACTGCATTCTAACCATTGTGCCACCATGGCTCTTATTATTTTCCTATGCTTGATTACTTTTTGTTGTTTTGAATATATAAATCTTTCTTATGTATAATTCATGTTCTATGCAATGAAGAATTGGATTTATATTCTACAAGCATATCTAAACTGAAGCTTTCTGATTAGAGAAGAAATGTACACCTGGTTCACACTATTAAACCTTAGTTGCTTTTGGCTTAGCACATTGTGGCAAGACAGCCAGTTGTGATTTGAAAGCCATGGTTTCATGACTTAGCCTGTTACATTAACTCAATCAATTGGAGTTTATTCAGTAATAATTAAGCAAACAATGTGATATGGAATCCCAGTCATATGATTAAATTTCTTACTTCTTTATCTCTTTTTTAATAAATAAGCTGGAGATAGAACTCTCAGTGGGCAGAATATATCAACCATTAAAATTATTCATACATAATATATATAGATAATATACCTATATGTTATTCTTTACCATTATTTTTAGTGTGTATGCTTAATTCTCAAGCCATTGGTGATTGTTAATTATAAATTTGTGCTGAATGACGTAAATATAAGGTAATATTTATATTATATCACTTGATTTTCAGGCAAAAGCTGAGGCTAGGATCTAACTTTATTTGAACATTTTTAAAAATAGGTTTTAGTTTGCTTATTATTATCATGTTATTTCTATATCCTCTTATTTTTCTCTCTTTAACTTTTTAACAGATATCTGCACTTTAACCAGATTGAAACCTTGGAGCCAGAATCATTCACCCATCTTCCCAAACTTGAAAGATTGTAAGTGTTTTTCTTTTTTCATTTTTTTCTAACCATATATTAGGTTTTTTTAACCTATCAAGTAACAATATTTCCATATAACACTTGGAAACATTATTAAAATTTCTGCTCAAACTAGGCTTAGATCTAAGCTTGTAGGATCTATGCAGATCTATTTTTAATAGTAATTTTATTAAAGATTATAATTAGAAAAATAAAAACCGATAAAAACTGAAAATGTAAATGAATAAAAAGAAAACATACAAGGCGTGAAAAAGAAAGAAATTAGTAAGAGAAATAGAAAAGAAAGAAAAGTAAGAATAAGCTAAAGAAAAAGAAAAGAAATATATAAAGAAATGACTTTATATAAACAATTTTAGTAACTTATCTCCTTCTGTTAAAATACAGCAAATGATCTCTTATTACTATATCCCATGTCTTACATATAAAGAAATCCAGCACCATCATTTCAGTCCTGATGTCCATTTTAACTTTGATCAAATACATCAACTGTATATTCCTTCCTTTTACTTTTAACAGTCTTAATCTTTAGTATTATTATTATTTATTAAATATTTATGCCACCCATCTTCCTTGTAAGGTGATTCTAGGCAGCTTACAGATTATAAAAAGATAAATGGAAAACTAATTAAAATATGATTATGCAAAATTTTACCCTGTACAACAAAACAGGATTAAGAGATGGACAGCACAAGGATGATGTCTCCTCAGCCAGTCAAATACCTCCAATAGTGAGCGCCCCTCAGCCCCCCAGTAAAACCAAGATTTAATACCATTCTGGAAGGCCAAAAGCATGAGAGCAGTTCTCACTTCTGGTTATATTATAAGAATCTCTTATTTATATCCCAAAAATAATAACATAGATATTGCAGACTAAATCATTACACCCAATCAGTCAAAATATCCATTAAACAACACCACCTATTAACCATAATTATTTGCATTTTTCTTCTATCCAGCAATCATTAAACCCCATACGTAGAGTTCTAACGTTTGCTTTTGTCTATTTTTATCTCTTCTCTCAAAGCCCTTGTCAATTTTATCAGTCCATTTTGTAGTTTTAATATAGCCCCACCAGTAAATCTTTTGTATAAAGACATCAACCGGTTTCTTTTTTATGTATAGTGCAGTGGTTCTCAACCTTTTTAATGCCGCGACCCCCAACCGTGATTTCAGACAACAAAGGTCTATTGCATTCCTTCTCCAAAACATGGAATACCAGTGACTTCTAAATGGCAGCAAAGAGCTATAGAAAAATCTAAAGCTTTCCTGCCATCTAGTGATTGTTTGGATTTTTGCAGCCGAGATCAGATTACTCTATCCAAAACCAAAACACCAAAATCAGCCCAATGGGAAAAAAAATATTAATGAGAGTGCAGTTCCTTCTTGGTGTCAGCATAAACCCAAATACATATTAATATACAGTTGTTTGAAACTGAAAACAAATTATATGCTATAGCAATGGTTCTCAACCTTTTTAATGCCGCGACCCCCAACCGGTCGTAAGTCAAGGACTACTCAACCGGTCGTAAGTCGAGGACTACTCAACTGGTGCAGCACCGTTTGCAGAATGGGATTTTTGGCGGGCTCAGTAGGGCAGAGACAGCCTGGACAATTCCTATTGGCTTTTGAAAGCCAATAGAATTAGACTCTATTCAAGAGAGTCTATTCTATTGGCTTTCAAAAGCCAATAGAATAAAAGGGAGTAGCACAGCTAAGGAAAAGGGGAAAAAAATGGCGGACTGCGTTGTTTGGCAACCCCCATGAAATGGTCGTTCGACCCCAAATGGGGTCCCGACCCACAGGTTGAGAACCAGTGGTATAGTGTAACATCGTTTTCCATGTTATTTTTGTAGCCTTTCATTTTTAAATCCACTTTGAACTCCATTTCAATCTTGTCTGACAGAATTTGTTCCTTTTCCATAACATCTTTCAGATACAGTGTGTCTATAGCGGTAGTTGCTATTAAAATTAACTTCTACAATATCCTTCAATGTGTCCAATGTTAAAATATTTTACTTCATTCTGTAAGTCGAGTAAGTATTCTTCTTTAATTGTAATCTTTACTTCCCTCTAGTTACCTCTAGTCTCCAACTTTTAAAATCTTATTTAAAAGTTAAAAACAAAAGCATTTTCCCATAGGAAAGTTTCTTTATAGTTAATTCCAAAATTTCATTTCAAATTTATCAGAATGCTTAGACTGTTTGCAACTTTCTGAAATCAAAGTTTTAATCACTCTTTTGCTGATTATAAAAAAATGAATTTTTAAAGACCTTAAACTTGCATTTAAAACTTATTTCAGTAAGGATTGAAGAAAACTCACCCACTATTGTAAAATGTATCAATCTAAAGGTCCCTGCTTGCTAACAAAAGTTGTTAGCAAGCAATTTCCAAAAGTAATTAGAAAAGAAGGTATGTGAACTTAGTATCCTTCCAAATAGGCTGACCACATTTTTACCGATGACTATTCCATTGTCTCCCAGGGCTCTAAACTGCCAAAGACTGCTATCTTGTGGTCTTATCCAGAGGAGCAACTCTCTGGAGCACTTGTGGGTGATCTCAGTTCCTCTCTTTGTTCTGAGAGGAATTATTAAAGAGCTGGTCCACTCGCCATCTCTTAATTCTGCTGCAGTCGTCTGCTTTTTGCTGAACCATCTTCAATCCTCCAGTTCTTTCCCAGAAATCCATATTCTATTTGGATCTAGATCAACATTTACCTAAATATAGGAGTAGTGGTGTGTAACTGCAGAGTTTCACTTAAACTCAGTATAAAATATCCAGTGCTGGATATCATGTGACCATGAGGATGTTGCAATGGTTGTGAAAAACGGTCATAAGTCATTTTTTGCAGTGCTGTTGTAACTTTGAACGGTCACTAAATGAATTATTATAAGTTGAGGGCTACCTGTACATTTCGTTTACAATTAACCAGAACATGCTACAGTTCTAATTAACTGTTCAGCATGAATAAAAGCAGTAGCTTTGTAAATCAAAGAAGTTGTTTTCTCAGTTATAGCTCTCTAACCATTTATTTGTGGTAAAGCCCATTGAATTTAGTAAAAAATTTAATATAGTACTAAACATTCATAAAAGCAGCATTTTTATTTTGCATTAATAGCATTCTGCTGATCTATATAATATGATAATAGATTAGCAGGAATTCTTATTATTAGCATAACAGTTTAAGCAGGAAAGTAGGTTCCTTGTTTATATGGATATGATCCTATATAATAAGAGACTTTGGTTTTCTTTAGTATTATAGGAGAAGATTGAATTTTTCATAATAAATGCAATTTTTTCAACAGATTTTTACACAACAACAGAATCTCTCATTTAATTCCTGGGACATTTAGTAATTTGGAATCCATGAAACGACTGTGAGTAAAAAAAAATCTTTAAACTTTGTACTTGATATTTTAAACATTTGTTGTATGAAATATCTCATTTTGATTTCCTTACCTATTATTCAGTCAAAATTCCTGATAATTTTGGAATTGGTCATGTTTAGTCTGTTGCCTCTGAGCAAGCAGCTTCTTCTGGAGTTCATAATTACATGTATTTGAACTAGCTGGATTTAACAGAAGCATCCTAGCTGTAAACATGTTTCAATATTTGTTTATAACATATATGCACATTCTCCTTTTTTGTTTAGGATGATATGTTTCAAAATATTCCAGCAAAGAAGACATTTCCACTCTTCAAACCTTATTTTGAACTTGCTAGAAATGTTTCAAAAATGGACGGAGCATTTCAATTTTATTTCAAATTTGTTTTGTTTAGATTTTTACAAGAAAACTGTTCTGATCATGAAACAGTGATTAAAAACTCTCAGGTTGAAGCAGGCTGGAGTGTTTTAGCCTCAATAGGATTTTCACAGCTCTGATTATGAAATGTAAATGGTAGGGATGAGATTATTTTATTTTTTCAGTATGATTCAATTCAATTTTGGTGCTGCCTGATTCCAGACCAGACTTTGGGCAACCCACAATAAACAGATATCAAGAAGACAAGTAAACAAAGGGAGGTCTGGCCACTTGGCATCAAACTATATGCCTAGTACATCCACAATCTTAACACAAATCCTTGAAGAAGAGCCAGCTCTTCAAGGCCTTCTGGAACATCATCCTGTTGGGAGCCAGGTGATCTCCAGGGGGATCTTATTCCAGGGGGCATATGCCACAACAGAGATGGCACACTTCCTAGGTTCTTTCTCTCTTTTACTGAAGTTTAGAAAGTGACTGAAATTTTCCTTGGAGTAGCATTCACCACCTACACACATATTTCAATATGGCACATGGTTTGCTTTCTAATATCCCAAATTCTAATTCAGAAAAAAAGTCACAACCAAGGGATTTGGATTCTGTTTTCACATGCATCTATTTTGCAAGCTGACGTGAGTCTTTTGGGATTTGGCAGCATACAAACCCAATAAAGTAAATATATTTTGTATGTCCTGGCTTTCAAGTTTTTCTCTTCTTCAGTGACTAGGAGGTATTGTAATGTGGTTAATAATATGACTGCATCTCCTACTTTTCTAAACAAGAGACATGGAATAAGCCCATGCAGTGCTGAGCCTTGTTAAGTAGAAACGGTGATAATTTCTTGTTTTATCCAGACGCCTGGATTCCAACGCACTTCACTGTGACTGTGAAATATTATGGCTGGCAGAGCTGTTGAAAACATATGCCGAATCTGGACATGCGCAGGCTGCAGCCACATGCGAATATCCAAGGAGGATCCAGGGAAGGTCTGTGGCCACAATAACACCAGAAGAACTTAACTGTGGTGAGATTGCTTTAAAGTTATAAATATGCTTTCTCCATATTTTATTAGAGATATTATACATTTTAGAGCCTGTCTAAATGTAAAATACAAATTATACATATAATTGTGTGTGTGTGTGTGAATAAATAAATATAAAAATCAACAACTCATTAAGTCTTTTGATGCAAGAGGGGAGAACACTACTGAATGTCTTTTAGACAAGGTAATTCCTTGGGATCAGCAGTTCTGTTGCTAAGTGGACTGTGGTGGGCTTACAAAATCATTTTCTATTCAACTGTTAAACAAATCCCACAGTCGTTAAGTGAGACATCACATGATTAAATTTTACTGCCAACTTCTCTATTGACTCTGGTTGTGGGAAGCTGGTTGTGAAGTATGCAATTGCAGATATTGCAACAGCCATAAAGGCTTTTTTATTTTTACACTGTTGTAACTTTGAATGGTAAGTGAGGACAACCAGTATAAAGGCTATACTGGACTGGATGGAATTTTTCTAGAGGAAGTTTGCTAGTTGGTGAGGGATCTTGGTGTTTTACTCTGTTTATGACCCAATAACTTCATTTTAATTTCTGACAAAACAGCTTCACTTTAATTTCTGCTTTACAACTAGGATAGCCGTTTTCAGCAGTCATAAAAATTTGGAAGCTCTTAAATTCAAACTTCGGCATTAAGGAGTTGATGGTGGAGTTTGGTGGTAAAAAAAAATGACGTTTTCTCTTTCTGTTCTTCTTTAACTTCTGAACAATATTTTTATGTTATAAAAGTGTTCCATTGCGTGTTGAACAAAACCTCCTTCTCGGCATCATTAAAAATAAAACAGTGTAATGTAAACTCGAGAATTGTTGAGTGGTTCTTTTTTCCACCCTATAACACTGAAAAATAAGCATTTTGTTACAAAGGGACATGGGATCTTAAAAAAAAGTTGGAAGTGTAATCATATATAGTTATATTGTAATCCCCTTTATGATTATTTTAATCATTAAATTATGATTTGTCTTATAATGCTAAGTACTCATCTAGGGTCACAAACTCTAATAATATTCACTGGCAAAGATTGCAAAAAATCAGAAAATCTGAAATTGGACAATTGGACACATTTCTATGAAACTGTATAAATGTGCATGTTCCAGTGTTTATATAATGCACCAATGAGAAACAGTGATTTATACCCTGCTTTAAAATTAAGAACTAAACTGTTTTTAAATTCCAATTTTATAGAGCTTTCTTTTCATATGCTTTGTTGATAATCCAGAGAGGCCAAGAATTACATCAGAGCCTCAGGATGTGGACGTAACTTCAGGGAATACTGTCTACTTCACTTGCAGAGCTGAAGGAAATCCCAAACCAGAAATCATTTGGCTTCGCAACAAGTAAGATTGTTTTAAATAGCTTGTGCAAATAATGGCTCTGATAATGAATCTGTGTGTGCCTTCTGGACAAAACTGTTTTTCACCTTCTTTTCCTGGTTTGAACATATTTGTTATTGAAAAGTGGTAATGCTACGCTCACGTTTCTTTCTCCATAGCAATGAACTCAGTATGAAAGCAGATTCTCGTTTAAATTTGCTTGATGATGGGACATTAATGATTCAGAATACTCAGGAGACAGATCAAGGCATTTATCAGTGCATGGCAAAAAATATAGCTGGAGAAGTTAAAACTCAAGAAGTAACTCTGCGCTACTTTGGTTCGCCAGGTGGGAAGATTTACTAATGCCAACCTTTTGTTTTGTTTTGTTTTAATTCTGTGCTTCTGTGCAAATAGCTTCAAAAGAGCTATTTGCTACTATTGCATTTGTTTAGACTTTTCTCTCACCTTTTTTTAAAAAAAGTTTGGTCAACTCAAATCAGTGTACATAATTTTTCTCACATAACAGCTGTGGGGGTGGATTATGCTGAGAGAAAATGACTGTCCCAAGTCAACCAGGTGATTTTCATGCCAAAGGGAAGATTAGAACTCAGATTTCCAGTTTCTATCTAAGCACCTTAGCCATTACACAATGCTGGCATTATATGTATTGGTATAATGGACCTACAGATAAATTACCAGATGGTTCAAAATACTGTAGCGAAAAAATCTTTTATCATAATTTTCTTATGAATCATAAAATCCCTGTAATACTTAGGACTAATTAAACATGGCTAATTTTTTTGATGTAAGATACAAGAAGAAACAAATATCTTTGCTTTAATTGTGAGATAAGTCCCTTTCCCTTTTTTACTGTTATATTACTTTTACTGGATTTGAGTCAGCTAGACAGGAATACTTTTAAGTATTTTTAATATGCATTCCATATTGTTGTAGCAAATGCAGTTCTTATTTAAAAACGTTTCCTCTTTTTGATGTACTAGTGCAGTGTTTCCTAACCTTGGGAACTTTAAGAAGTGTGTGGACTTCAATTCCCAGAATTCCTCAGCCATCCTAAGTTTGAGAAATACTATATTAATGAAAAAGTATTATAGGCATGCTCTCTTTTTAACAGCTCGGCCAAGTTTTGTGATTCATCCACAAAACACAGAGGTTCTGGTTGGAGAAAGTGTCACCCTGGAATGTAGTGCAACTGGGCATCCCCAACCACGTATCACATGGACAAAAGGTGACAGAACACCTCTGCCAAATGATTCACGGATCACCATCACTCCATCAGGAGGACTTTACATCCAGAATGTGAAGCAGGAAGAGGGTGGTGAATATACTTGCTTTGCAACCAACAGTCTAGATAGCATTCATGCGACTGCCTTCATTATTGTGCAAGGTAGGCAGCACTTTAAAAGGTGGTTTGGGTTTGATATTTATTCCAACCTGTAGATCATTTAAAATTTTGAAAAGATGCAATAGGATTTTCCCCAAATGGAGAACATATTTTCAATGCAATCTCATATTAACCGGCTAATATTTGGAAAGTAAAATTGCATATTGACAGCGTTGATATTGTCCTAATGCTTCTTTGAGTGTTTGATAGGTATTTCACATATTGTTATTGTTACCTTACAAATATATATTGTATAGTTGTGATTATGTTGTTTTCTTCATAATATAATTTGACTTTAACAAAAGGAAAGAAAGCAAGGTGTTATGAATCCAAAGATTTGGTTAAATCATTGCTAAGATGCCTTTACTTTGAGTTTTTGTTTTCATTTATTTTTCATCCAAAGTCTCAAGAGGTCTGATAATCATGGATGGTTCCAAGTCTACATGTGTTTAGCCAGGTACCAAAGATCTGTAATGGAAGTGGTTCTCACTCCATAGTTCAAAGAATACAAAATAAAATATGTTTGTGGTCTATGTATCCTAAACTGCTTTCATTATTTGTTTCCCTTTTACACAGCTGTACCTCAGTTTACTGTGACCCCTCAAGACAGAAGTGTGATTGAAGGACAGACTGTTGATTTCCCTTGTGAGGCACAAGGTTATCCACAACCAGTCATTGCATGGACTAAAGGAGGTCAGAATTTAAATTAAAACAATGTACAAAGCTCAAAAAACTATGAGCACTGATGATGTTACCTAATTAGGATAATGAAACCTTTGCAAGAAAACAAGCAAGCTCAGAGAGCACCAAGGGACCCCCTCATTTCAATCCTGAGCTACAAATATTCTCCTTCATTGAAACTACAGAGTAATTTGTTACAGCATGGAAATAAATGTTGAAGTGATTTCTCCGATAGAGCAAAGTTATAAATATTTATTTTCTTGTTATTGCTATTACTTTGGTGTGACTGAATTTAACCAAAATATTCACCATTGCTGTCAATGAATAAGTGAGAGAAAACAAGGGTTGATTAGTAAGGGAGGTTCAGAGGTTCACATCTCTTTTGAAGTCTTTGAAGAGCCTATGGAATCCCATCTTTTTCTCAGGAGGATACTGCTACCCACTACATTTACTCTTAGAGATGAATAGTTTTTCTCCAAGATTATGTCACATGTTCTCTTTATCACACATTTTGTTCCTGTCTTCAGGTTCACCATGAGAATTTCTGAAGAAAAATGAACACATGCAGCTTTTCATTGGATCTCAGTTTACTAACACTTACATGCTATATTATGCTGCACGTGAAATAGATTTTAAGTACTATATGTATTGCTTACTTTGCACGGATTCTTGGCAACATACCTCCATATTGTTAACTTGATGGCATCAATTTTCAACAAGCCTGATTTTTATGCTGACAAATCGGGAGACTAGAGGATACCCATCCTTTCATATGCAGATGATACTCTGGTCCACCTCAGGAGAGTATGAATCTGTCATCCTGCGTAGGAAAAATCTGCCCAATTATAAAATATCCAAAATCATGATTTAGAGTACAAATATGAACAGAAAATCTAGATTTCAAAGGACCTGTAAGTACCTTGAAGTGTAAAAGGAAACACATTGTGCCTTTGAGGCAGCATAATGATATTTTACCATTAGATACGTCTTTTTCTTCAGGGGCAGATGGTTCTTGCCTGTCTCTTAAAATATATATATATATTTTAAGCCCACCATTTATTTCTGATCTTATAAGGAATCCAGGTGTAATCTGTGTCACAAACAATACTATGGAAATAGTACTAATGAAATTTTGAAAGCTGTTCTTACTGCCCCAAGAAGTATAGCTAACATTTATCTCTTACCTGAGGTGCGGATGTCTAAAAAGTTGTTATATCTCATGATCAGTTATTAGCTAAATATCTTGTTGTTTTTTAACCAGCCTATTAACCTTTGTATTGGCGGAGGACCATTGTTCAAGTTTCCAGCTCTGGGCCAATTAGAATTACTCTGCCACTTTTAGGACACCCACCCATCTCCCCACAACTCAGATGCCTTGATTGATTTATCACTGGTTGATGTGATAACCATCATTCTGTATTAGATATGTGCAAGTATATTGTAGGAAAATAATATCAGAATGTGTGTGTGTGTATATATAAGTGGGCCTGAGAGAGAGGGAGTATCAGTAACACCTTCAGAAAGTATTCAAAAGTTAATAGAGGAGTTTATAAACTTGGGTTTATAATTGCTTTAGATCTATAGGTAACTTGGAGAGGATGGGAGAAGAAATTCTTAATCTCTTTCTTGTCAGCCATGTCAGTTTTCAGCTGTTTTACCGATTTTCCAACTGTCTTTATCTTTATTAACTTCTTTGATGTTTGAAATATACTGCATTTTTAGAAGTTCTGCCAGCTCCCAGCCACATTTTAAGATAAGCCCTTGAGATGAACAGCAGCTTTTCTCTGTGGGCCTTTCTTCCAATTGAGATAGAGAGAGCTTCCTATTTATCACAAGCTTCCTACTTACACCATATAGAATATGGTGGAAATCCTTGAGTCCTTGGAGCACTGCAATTGACTTGTAGACAGTGGTGGGATTCAGCCAGTTCACACCGGTTCAGCAGAACCAGTAGCTAATTTTTTGTTGACTTTGGCAAACCAGCTGATGCCCTAGCCCTTTTTCGCAAGGCCCAGAACAGACTGCTGGAAGTGTGTGGATGCCACTTCTGGAGTGTCCGTTTTCAGCTGGGGAGGCCTCCCCCCCAGGCCTCCGAGGCTCAGAATGGATTTCCGGAAGTGGCGTCCACATAGAGAATTGGTTGTTCATATACCTGAATCTCACCACTGACTGTAGCTATTTACAAAGTCAGAAGTCTCCACAGAAAGGCAGGATTCTCTATTTGCTCTGTCTTGGAGCAGGAGTTGTGAAGGTTGATTTTTAAAAATGTATTTAGAAGTAATAAAGAAATTGGCCAAGAAAACTTCCCTATGCTGTAACATTAGTGGAATAAGTTGTCCGAAAATAAGAAGAATCCTTTTCTGAAGCAGGTCATTAAGAAGCTAATTTATTGTTCTCAGATCCATAGTTTCCTGTTTAAAGATACCTAGGGAATTATTTGCTTTCTGCCTAGTCAGTGATCTTTACTGAGGGAATTAGGTTTGGCATGTGAACAGATTTGAATGGGTTGGATGCATCATTTATTGGGGCATGGGAATAGAGGACATAATCCCAGGTTGCTTTCACCAGCGATAACATCGCTGGCACCTTTCTCAGAAAGTAATTGAATGTTAACAGGGAAGGTGTTTTCCTCCGGTATACTTGTAGAAAACTTAATCAAAGTCTTGTGAATATTTAATAGAACTTTTTTCCATCACCTCTTAATTATTTTCTTTTTTCCTCTTTCTTTGTTGTAAACAAAAGAATATAAATCCGGGTTTGTCTGTCTGTTGCATGTGCAGCTCATGATTTAATTTTAAAAATTCTTCTTTCAGGTAGTCAGTTGTCGGTAGATAGAAGACACTTAGTTTTGTCTTCTGGAACTCTGAGAATTTCCGCAGTCGCTTTACATGATCAAGGACAATATGAATGTCAAGCGGTCAACATTGTAGGATCTCAAAGAGTTGCTGTCCATCTGAGTGTACAGCCAAGAGGTAAACTTGAATAAGCGAATTTGCATGCAGTTCTTTTTTCTTTTACGTTTTTAAATATTTAAATTTTAAACTGTTTTTAAAAGTTTGTTCTCTCTTGCCAGGGCAGTGATGTCATTTTATTTAAAAAAGTATTTTTAAGCTTTGCTTTCTGTGGCTAACTTATATTTGCCCTATTGTAACTATGTTGATTGTATGGTAGTTCAAAGATCTAGCACATGACTTTTTCTTAACTTGTCAATACAACTGGAGTTTGTTTTCTTGCAAAAAAAAAAAACCTATTTTGTTTACTGAAATGAATTGACAAAACCAAATATGCTCTAGGTGAGGGTCCCCTGAAATGGATGAGGACAGTTGTGGAGGGGCAACAAGAGGATTAATACTTCAACCCCATACATTTCTTATTAGCACTCTGATCTGAGCCAGGTCCCCAAGCTTCCTTTTGAATACAGTAATGATACTTTGCTAATTGCATGTTTAAATAAAACTTAACTGAAATCCAAAATGCAGCTATTACTGAGTAGATAGAGAGCTGTGGAGCAAAGAAGATTATATGTGGAAAAATAGGAGAAAAATAGGAACTTCATAGCTGTTAAATCATAATGGTGCATTATTCCTTGTACTAGGAAAAGAATGTTAGCATGGAGAGTTGGAAAAAAATGGCTAAGAAACTAAATAAAGTCTCTATCCTGAATCAAGTCTTTGGAATGAGCTTACATTCATGTTTTATATAATTATAAAATATAATTATTATGCGGTCAATAGACCTAAAAGAAATGTATTCAATCCTTAATTTTAGATAAATTCTATTCTGCACTAAATATTAATAGTAGGATTTTGTTAGATTGAAAACTAGGTGATTATGATTTGAATAAAATTGTTTATTTAAAAAAATTTATCTGCTTGATATTTCGTTCTGGGAATCTTTATTTTAGTAACTCCTGTGTTTGCTAATGTTCCAAGTGACATGACAGTGGAAGTGGGTACAAATGTACAGATTCCATGCAGTTCTCAAGGAGAGCCAGAACCAGTAATAACATGGAATAAGGTACTGCATACCAGTTTCATATTTTCCTAACTTCGTTCAGTCTGTAAGAAGAATATGTTTGCTTCTTCTCTCTGTAATGTGTTTACCTTTCCTTTGTCTGAAACCATCTGTTGTAGAGGCTACTCAAAAGGCAGTGAGATTTTAATTGACAGGCTACTTTGATAAGAGTTTGAACTGCTACACTGATCATCTAATTCCTTCTGATTATAGGTAGTTCTTAACTACGACCACCATTGAACTCAAAATTTCTTTTGCTAAGTGAGAGTTATTAAGTGAGCTTGGCCCCATTTTACGACCTTTCTTTTCACAAATGTTAAGTGAATCATTGCCTTTAAGTTAGTAACACAATTTTTAAGTGAATCTGGTTTCCCCATTGGCTTTGCTTCTAAGGAAGTTCGCGAAAGGGACCCACATACTGCAACCATCCTAAATATGAGTCCGTTGCCAAGCATCCAAATTTTGATCGTGTAACCATGGGGATGCTGCCACTGTCATAAGTGTGAAAAACAGTCATTAGTCACTTTTCAGAGCCCTTGTAACTTTGAACAGTCACTAAATAAATAGTTGTAAGTTGAGGACTGCCTGTTTACGTGGTATATACACAATTCATTTCAAGTATTAGGAAACACTATGTGTATTCCCAGGTAGAGCTGAAAAAAAGTGTCCAGATAAATACAATCACTAAAATACAGTTTTTATTCTATGACGATTATGATGGAAAGCTTGAAGGCATTTTTTTCTACACAAAGCATATATGCCTTGCAAATTATACACAGATAATCCTGGATTATGACAGCCTTGGAAAGGGTGCTTCCAGCTATTATAAAACATGCCATTTCCCTTTCTCCATGGTCACATGACCACATTTTGGTTGCTTGGCAACTAGCTCACATTTATGACTGGCTGCTGAGAGCCCCACTGTCATATGATTGCCATTTGCAATCCTCTCTGCCTGCTTCTTCCCAAAGTCAGTAGGGAAGGTAACAGGGAAGGCTGCAAGCAGAGGGGAGGGAGCAGAGCAGAGCTCCTTCCACAGCCTCCTGAAGGATTTAATCTCTATGCATGAAGGGGAGCTGAAATTGGTGGGCTGAAGGAACCGAACTGGAACTTTTAGGATTTCAGCTCCATTCAGCTGAAATTCTAAAGATTCCAGTTCTGATCCTGAAGCCTGCCAAAGGATTTCCCCTCCAAGCATTGGGGGGGGGGGAATCCCTCAGTGGGCTGCAGGAACAGAGCTGAAATCCTGAAATGCATGGGGTAAATCCTTGTTGGGTGGGCTGGAGAAACAATTGAAAGTGAAAGGGTTATTGGACTCCTCCCAACAGACAGCTCTTTTGCTCTCTCCACTTAATGACCCAAGAGATCACTTAACAATTGAAACAGAGGAGTGCTGGGATTGTGGTCATTGAGCAATGCAGTCATGTGTTTCTTAACCACTTTGCTCAAAGTGTGAAAGTCAAGTTCCAGTTGTGGCCATAAGTCAAAGACTGCCTACATTATATCTCAAATAGCCAAATTATAAATCTGTAAGGCTGAGGTGAACTTGTATTTCTAGTCCATGGCAACAATTTAAATCAACTTTTCTAAGGCCAGACCTGTACAACTTAATAACCAGCAAGTCAAATGTAAGTTTTCAGCAACTTTTGAGGCTCTCGATAAACTCTCAAAACTGAGTCCAGACTTAGTTCTGCCTAGGATAAATCTCCTAAAGGCAATTAGATTTAGTTAGAGCTAACTTTGACCTCTAACTTAAATGAGTCTCCTCTGCACATGATTAAATCTGGATCCAAAGCACTGAGTAGAAACCAAGAGGTCTGCTCATATGATGGTACTTTTTCTTTTTTCTCCTACCTCCACCATTCTCTTGTGTATGGTGCATCTGCTGTAGAACATTTTCTTCTAAAGGAGCCTATTTGGAGGGCATATTCTGGGGTGCAGGAAGAAGTGAGGGAATCGCACTCTTCTGTTCTGCAGAAGAGGTAGTCCCATCAATGGTGTTTTCTATTTTCCTGGGAGACTTTACAATAATGCTTCTTAAACGGTTTAACCCAATTACAACTTTTCCAGTCTTGAATAATATAATTACACCCTCCTCAAAAAAACCCAGATTTCCCCCCCCCACACACACACAAACTTCTCAGCAGTAACAGTCCCAAACTGGATCCTAAATAACAATTTCAGATTGCTCCATTAACTGCAGGATATACCCAAATTACCCCAAGTTTAAAAACCACTGCTTTAGAACATGGCTAGGCTTTGAAAATGCAGATTATGCATATGAATCGAGAATTCCTTATCTGTCAGGGTAGGAAATTTAAATTTATGTTTTCCTTTGACCAAATTAAAAAACACAACAAACAAACACCTTCAAACAATTTAGTTCTTCTAAAACACTGCCTAAGTTATGGAATATCTTGGCCTTTTGATTGCTACAGGATGGTGTTCAGGTGACAGAAAGTGGGAAATTCCATGTTAGCTCTGAAGGATTTCTTACTATTCGAGATGTTGGGCCAGCAGATCAAGGCCGTTATGAATGCGTAGCAAGGAATACAATTGGATATTCCTCAGTTAGCATGGTACTAACTGTGAACGGTAAGATTTATACCATTAGAATAGACAACTGCAGATTAATTATTGTGCACAATCATCAAATTATTAAAGGTTTTCAGTGTAATGCATAAGAATTTTGGAGGAATTATTAAATTTGATTTTAATAATCACCTCTCCTTCAGTAACTTTTATTTAGTAAAACTCATAAAGTGGCACTAAGTAACATGTTTTTTGGTTGTGAGTTTAAATCAAGGACAGATAGTCTAATACTTAAATAATTGTTTAATGGAGAATTATTTAATGTTCAGTGTAATAGTTTATTTCAAAAGCTTTGGAGAAATTATAGTTACCAATGGACTCAAAAATACCAAGAGAAGATTTGTTGGTAGAAAAGGTTACAGGTTTCTCATATTCATGATATTCCTTTATCTTTTTCACTTTTTTTGTACTTTCTTTTGTCTAGAGCAGAGGTTTATTAAACTCCATGGATAGATTTCATGGAATCCATGAACATGAATGGGAGAATGTGCTAGCTTTATTTTCACTACTTCACTAAGTGAAATTTAGATTGTCTTGTTATTGATTTAAATGATTTTTTTAAAAAACCACATATATTACTATATTGCATATTTATTATTTTTTATATTTTGTTCATTTTAAGAATAATTTTAAGAATTGTTTTTAAGAATAATTAGTTTCTTTTATAGTTCAATCTAGATCAGGGGCAGACAACCTTGGCTCTTTTATGACTCATGACTTCAACTCCCAAAGTCATAAAAGAGCCAAGGTTGCCTACCCCTGGTCTAGGTCAATGTATTTTATGTTTTTTGAATATATTTTTATGAGAAGGAATTGGTGGGTTTAATCAAATATTCAGAGGTGGCATGACACAAAAAGCTTTTCTAGACATAAAATCTATAAGTTCTTATCATGTTTAGAGAATGATGGGATAATGACTGCAATTATTTTTCTTTTTTAATAATAGTAGCAAATTACAAAGGGAGAAAAACAAGGATATTATACTATTGAATAACATATATTATTTATTTAATAAATAATAATAGTGTTGCCATGCAACAAAAGGTTGTGCTTTATACTTGCACCTAAAATGAGCACTCCTGATCAATCATTCTTTTCAAGGGCATTCCAGCCTCAATTCTCCACATTGCATATTCTGTAGCTAGAGAGCTTACTCACTCATTTTGATTGTGCTGAAGAATTTTTTCCTGAAAAAGAAATTGAAAGTATATTTTTAAGTTATGATTGTGAAAGAGTAATATTTTTCTCCTAGACAGTTTTGTAGTTTTATAACATTACCACCAAACGAGTAATTTTATAGAAAATTGTAAATAGAATTTTACTTTTAATACTAAAATAATGTTATGTCTAGACTTTGCTTAACTGTGTAACTCTGAAAAAATGTTTAATTTCTCCTTTTTCTTTTTAGTTCCTGATGTGAGTCGAAATGGAGACCCATTTGTAGCAAGCTCTATTGTTGAAGCTATTGCTACTGTTGACAGAGCAATAAACTCCACACGCACACATTTGTTTGATAGGTATTGCTTATACTGTATAATTGGAAGGATTTGTTTACATCATAATAATATAGTGGTTTATCTCTTATTTACTTGATTACTTTAGTTGATCTTGACTTGGCATCGCTATACTCTAATTCTTACAATTATTTTAGTTGTTTTTTTCAATTTCCTATCCTTTCACAAATAGACCAGTTCATGTCTTTGTATAAAAGACTAGATGACAATAGTCTTTTTTCCCATTGTGTGCTGGAACTTTCCTCCTTTATGTCTTGTGGGTATTTCCATTGGGTCATACCAACTGAAGGGGAGGTCAGTTTAAAGTGAAGGCTACTAAACATGTGGAAATGAAAGTTCTTAAAACTTAATATTATATTCCTTGATGGCTTAGCAAAAGATTCTTCTTGCAGCTGTCAGATGCTAATTTTTTAAAAATCTTTTTTTTATTGGCTTGCAGTACTGGATAATTACTTGAGGTATGTACTGTAAATTGTTTAGAGATGTTTAATATAAGCATTATTACTAATCTTGAATAGCATTAGGATTAAAACTAGTTACTTAATCTTATGCATCTAGACACTATATTTATTTTTTGTCTTTTTCTTGTTAATTTATTAGTCGCCCTCGATCTCCAAATGATTTACTAGCCCTATTTCGATACCCAAGAGATCCTTACACTGTTGAACAAGCAAGAGCTGGAGAAATATTTGAAAGGACACTACAACTAATTCAGGAACACGTACAAGACGGTTTAATGGTTGACCTTAATGGAACAAGTCAGTGTTTTTCTTTTGCATACTGTAAGAGTGTATGACATGAGGCCAGAGTATTTAACCTCTAATCATCTCTTCTCTCATCCTGAATTGTGGCTTTTCTGTTGTGAATGTATATACAAGGTTTGACTTCCTGTGATCAGAGCCATATTCCAATATATTCTGTTGCCCGTTATGTGACAACGGGTATGTATGTAATCTAATGCTTTTTTTTTTCTCCTCTCTACTGAATACGGTGGAGAAATATGTTATCCAGCTGTACTTTTCACATAAAATTCTGCCATCAGATGCACAGTCACAAGTGAATGGGATACACGGTGTGGCCAACTTTTTCCTTTTCCATTCTTGTCTCTTCTCATTTTTTTATGAGATTACTGTGTCATCTTTAAATTTTTGAAACATGTCCAGGCTCCTCTGTTAGCATCGTCAAATAGCCATTTTCTGTTTCATGTTCCATTGCATCTGCACCATATCTCTAATGTCAGTCAGCAGACCTTGAGTACAGAATTGTTCTGTGAAATAAGTAAAAGTCAAAATAGATTTCTAAAAAGTGGAGTGAATCATAGATTTTCTGTGATGAAAAAGACTGGGTAAACTATAAAAAAGAAGGGGCCAACTGGGGGATTAAATTATAAATATCAATGCATTGGAGAAACACAAGGGAAGTGAGGGGGGGAGGGAGCAAGATGAAACTACAGAAAATAACCAGAAGCAAGGATCATGGTCTTCAAGATTAAATTCACACAATTGATAACGAAGTTAATCTCAAATGAAAGAAAATAAATTGGCCTTTCTTAGATTTGTCATATTATTTATTGGGAAAGCCCCCCCCCCAAAAAAAATAGATGCTTTGGTATTTATAAAAGCAATATCAGTTTTTGTTTTGGTACATACATCCAGTGTTTCAAAAACTAGGCCTAAATATTTAGTGTATGTCAGATAAAATCTCTGGGATGAACTGAATTCGGATTTTTCTGCTTAATTCTAGAAGTAGCAGAAGTTAAAATTCAAAAGCAATTATTTAGTCATTCTTCCATTATCTGCTTCTGAGATAAGTTGCAAAGTATTTGATTTAGACTAAAATGTTAGAGAAGCTAAATGAAAGGGACTTAATAAGCAGTCTAGTGTTATTAACCAGATTTAGCATGTGAAAAGAAGTATCTTTTGCTTAGCGTATTTCCTGTGTTTTGACTGTTTCTGCAACTTTATTTCTAGAAACTGTTTAAAACTTAACTTCAGATTCTAGATTGGGAAATGTGCAAGATTTGTGAGCATCTGCTTTGTCAGTTTGGAAAGTCATCAGATTGAGTAACATAAGCTTCCCAAAGATGTCTGCAGCTGAACAGATCATTTATGCAATTATTTATGACATGGTTGCATATACAAATACCAAAGCCATATTGGTTCACTTGCTAAAACAAAATAAATGCATATGTAGCAGCACTATTCAACCGTTTTTAAAAAATTATAAGTTAATGCAATTTTTGTAATAAATAATAAGGAAATTGCATTAATTTATAATTTTTTAAAAACTACTTTTTAATAGCTTTTATTGATTAATTTGATTTTTACCCTGCATTTATTACTTTATGAGTAATTTATTTTTCTCTCTTTTATCTGTTTCAGGCTATCACTATAATGATCTGGTATCTCCACAGTATTTGAATCTGATTGCCAACCTGTCAGGCTGCACGGCCCACAGGCGTGTGAATAACTGTTCGGACATGTGCTATCATCAGAAATACAGGACACATGACGGCACATGCAATAATCTGCAGCATCCAATGTGGGGAGCCTCTCTAACAGCCTTTGAACGAATGCTGAAATCAGTCTATGAAAATGGTTTTAACTTGCCAAGGGGCATTGGACCTAATCGACATTACAATGGACATACGCTCCCGATGCCACGTTTGGTATCCACTACATTAATAGGGACGGAAACAATAACTCCAGATGACCAGTTCAGTCATATGTTAATGCAGTGGGGCCAATTCCTGGATCATGACCTTGATTCCACGGTGGCTGCCCTAAGCGAAGCCAGATTTTCAGATGGTCAGCACTGCAGTTCAGTTTGTACCAATGACCCTCCGTGTTTCTCTATCATGATCCCACCTAATGATCCTCGGGTCCGAAATGGAGCACGGTGCATGTTTTTTGTACGTTCCAGTCCTGTGTGTGGGAGTGGTATGACCTCCCTCCTCATGAACTCCGTCTACCCACGAGAACAAATCAATCAATTGACCTCGTACATCGATGCATCCAATGTATATGGCAGCTCAGAGCACGAAGCGCAAGAGATCAGGGACTTGGCAAGTCACAGGGGCCTCCTGAGACAGGGCATTGTGCAGAGATCGGGAAAACCTCTCCTTCCATTTGCAACTGGCCCTCCAACAGAGTGCATGAGGGATGAGAATGAGAGCCCAATTCCCTGCTTCTTTGCCGGAGACCATCGAGCCAATGAACAGCTGGGACTCACCAGTATGCATACACTGTGGTTTCGGGAACACAACAGAATTGCTACTGAATTGCTGAAGCTCAACCCACACTGGGATGGTGATACGATATATCATGAAACCCGTAAAATTGTTGGTGCAGAGATGCAGCATATAACCTACAGCCACTGGCTGCCTAAAATCCTGGGAGTGGTAGGCTTGAAGATGCTTGGTGAATACAAAGGTTATGATCCCAATGTTAATTCTGGCATAACAAATGAATTTGCAACTGCAGCTTTTAGGTTTGGACACACCTTGATCAACCCCATCCTATATCGGTTGGACGAGAATTTTGAAACTATTCCTCAGGGTCACATACCTCTACATAAAGCTTTCTTTTCCCCATTCCGGATTGTAAACGAAGGAGGCATCGATCCGCTTCTTAGAGGGTTATTTGGCACTGCTGGTAAGATGAGGGTGACTTCTCAGTTGTTGAACACTGAACTGACAGAGAGACTTTTCTCTATGGCCAGAGCGGTAGCTTTAGATTTGGCCGCGATGAATATTCAGAGAGGGAGAGATCATGGAATCCCACCATACCATGAATTTAGAGTTTACTGTAATCTGTCTTCAGCACACACATTTGAAGATCTAAGAAATGAAATAAAGGATCCTGAAATCAGAGAAAAACTCACACGGTAAGCTCCCCGTCTCAGTGCTATTTTTGTCGGTAGGTTATTGAGGTGTTCTAACAGAAAGGAGAAGCTGTTCGTGCAGAACTGTATGCTGTATACTTGAAACTTCCCATATATTGGTTTCATACATATTTCAGAAGGAGATCCAAATCCATTTTTTATTATATTGGGTGAAGGTTTTAATCTTCTCGTATACAAGTGGTCCTTGACTTACGACCACAAAGGAGCGCAAAATTTCCATTGCTAAGCAAGATGGTTGTTCAATAAGTTTTGCCCCATTTTATGACCTTTCTTCCCACCATTGTTAGGCAAATCACAGCAGTTGTTAAATTAGTAGCACAATTGTTGAGGGAATCTGACTTGCCCACTGACTTTGCTTGTCAGAAGGTTGCAAAAGATTGTCCCATGATCCTGGGACACTGCAATCTTCATAAATATATGCCAGTTTCCAAGAATTCAAATTTTGATCCCATGACCATGGGGATGCTGCAATGGGTTGTAAGTGTGGAAAACAGTCATAAGTTACTTTTTTTCAATGCCATTGTAACCCAGCCTTTAAATGAATGGTTGTAAATCAAGGATTATCTGTACTATAAAAGTGAAGAGCTAACTTCTGTGCTTTCTGAGCTGCATTGTTTACTAGAAAATTTCTGAGTTCAAGATTGGTTATTACCTATAAATCCTTACATTGTTTGACCTAATTCTTTGCAGGACTGTAGTATTTGCCTATCCTATATAACCTTGGTTCCAGTGATTAAACACATCACCTAGAGCAGTGGTAGTGAACCTATGGCACGTGTGCCAGAGGCGGCACTTGGAACCCTCTCTGTGGGCACACATGCTGTTGCCCTAGCCTTGCCTCCCCCATGACCCCCTCCTCACCAGCAGCCCCCATGGAGGAGAGTCGCTCTTGAGCGTGGCCCATGCAGAGCAGTGCAGCACAGCCAAGGACAAGGCAGCCAGGCAGTATAGACAAGACTCTGCCCTCACGTCCCATCACGCAGTTGATGCTGCGGGGCGTGGGCAGAGGGTGTGGCCATCATGGCACTGCTGGGCTGCCTGGGCAATCTGCAGCGGGCCCTGGAGGCAGTGAGTGGCCCTGCGGGCAGGTGGGGCACGGACGGGATGGGGGCGAAGCGACGGCGGGGCAGGGAGTGGAGCAGGGTGGGGCCAGCTTTTGGTCCCTAACAGGTTCGCCATCACTGACCTAGAGAGACCTAGGGAGCAGCATCCCCATCCAGAGATTAGTTTGGTCCCTTCTTCAAGTGAACACTAAAAACATGGCTCTTTCCTCAGGCCTTGGTTAGCATGTCTGGTGGATCCATCTAGGTTGGCAGTGATGTGGGGAGGGGGAATTGCCAATTTCATTGTTCCCTTGGACAGTTTTCCTTCTTACATAACATTTTTCCTGTTTGGGGTTTAATGAAGATGTTCAGAGTCATTTTTGAAGTTGCGTGGCCTAGAAACTGGACAGATAAATAAACCATGTGATTCCTGAAGAGGAGGCTGCATTGCTGGTCTCCTCACCCACCATCCCAGCATGTCCTTGACCTTTCCAAGGAATCTAGGAAATATTAACATTTGCAGTTGGAAGGCCTATAAATGTAAATATCTCTCTGCAAGCTGTCAGTTTTCTTTCAGAAGGCTGAATACAAACATTTAAGTCACCCAGAAATCCATGAAGTTATGTTAAGTAGAATTTATTACTGAGCAGCTAAGAAGTCATGATGAAAAAATTCTAATAGCTGCCACATGTCCAGTGCAAGTTTGGTTCTTATAGAAATGGTCAAATTCCTTGTGCCTGTTTCTTCTGCTCCCTTTGTGCAGAGGATTATCTGACATTTATCTTATTTAAACATCTCTGAGACAAAGACTCTCTTCTCTTTTGGACATAAATGATTGTTTTGGTAACAGCAACATCTAGCCATCCAATCGTTTACTTTTAACCATGTAAGAACTAAATTTCACATAAGCTTTCATACAACAAATGTTTACTCTTAATTCATGGTCAGTTGGAGATGTAGATAATCAACTCATTCTTCATTGTAGCTGTTTTCTCTAGTTTTCATAATTATACCCTGGATTTGAAGGAATTCAATTTGTATGCCAAAGTAGAGTATGTATGTATGTATGTATGTATGTATGTATGTATGTATGTATGTATGTATGGTATATGAAGACTCCTCACATCTATATATTATTATAAAGTCATTTTTGAAAGTTTTTTTTTTAAAAATCAAATGATTTCCTGCCATTCTAAATGGAAAATAGTATACATTTCATAGTGTGTTCACAAATTTGATGGCTATATAGTATACAAGCTTTACATACAAAGAATATAGATTTTGCCAGATGTTTTCTAGAAAGTTCCTTGAACCAACGAAAGTTTATTATGTTGGATATCATATTCTGTACCAGCAATTCAGGTGTACAGAACCTTGTTTTGGAAATCAGCTTATACTGTATAAGGCCAATGCTTCTTTACCTTTTTAAAAACATTTTTAAAAAACTAGGGAGCATACTATTTTTTTTCCCTACCATATGAAGTTAATTTCCATCTCTGAAGACAGTTGCATTCTACACAGGTTCAAATATTAGTCTTTCAGTAATATGTGCAGAAAACAGAGACTGCTTGTTTTGAACTTTGTAGATTCAGAACTAAATCTAGTGAGCCCTGTTTCAAATTAACACATATTCAGAGTAAATGTGTCAAGCAAAAATTGAGCAAAAAGATATAATAAATCCAGAATAATATTTTTTAATTGTAGTTTTAAAAATTCAATATAATACTGAATTCATACTTTGGGTCATCTACAATCATTTATTTTTCTTGTATAGATTATATGGTTCACCACTGAACATAGATTTATTTCCTGCTCTTATGCTAGAAGATCTAGTTCCCGGAAGCAGGTTGGGACCTACACTGATGTGTCTCTTGAGCACACAGTTTAAACGTCTCCGAGATGGAGACAGGTAAGTTTGGTATAAAACTGTTCATTCGTTACACTTTGAAGCATTCCAGCAAGAAGATAACCACCTAGAACCAAACATGTAACAACAGTGAGCAATCCTTCTCTTTGCAACTGACTCTTATCATTTGTGAAGAGCCATTTCTTCACAAGTATGCCACAGGAATTAGCAGCAGAGAAGACTTTATTGTGTGAAGTGAATGGCAGTAGCATTTAGACTTATATACCGCGCCACAGTACTTTACAGCCCTCTCTAAGCAGTTTACAGAGTCAGCATAATTGTCCACAATAATCTGGCTCCTCATTTTACCTCAGAAGGATGGAAGGCTGAGTCAACCTTGAGCCTGTCAGGATCAAACTGCTGGCAGTAGATAGAATTAGCCTGCAATACTTCATTCTAACCACTGCACCACCGCACAGTATGTGCAGGATTTAGGATCACAAGGAAACATTTGCATGCAAAGCTCTTGTCACGGATTCCTTGATGCATACCATTATATTGTCATTGTGGACATTAATGCTTTGCTGATTCAAAGCATGACAGAAGGAATTGTGAGGCCTTGCAATTCATTTTGAGTTATCCATGATGAGTTTATATTTATTCAGATAATGCCAAAACATATGCCTCAACTAGAAATATAGGTATGTTTTTTTAACAATCTAAAAAAACCTTTTCAAGAGCTATCAGTAAAAGTAACAACATAGAGAGAAAAGAATCCATGTAGTGCTATTAAATATACTTTAAACGTTCTATTAATGTGAATATATTCCTTTTTTTAGTACTGAATCCTTTACACTGAATACTGACTAACAATTTATTCTTACTTCATGTGAGACTACAGGTTATGGTATGAGAACCCAGGTGTGTTTACTCCAGCGCAGTTGACTCAGGTCAAACAGTCCTCCCTTGCAAGAATTCTCTGTGATAATGGGGACAACATAACCAGGGTACAACGTGATGTTTTTAGAGTGGCTGAGTTCCCACATGGTTATGGAAGCTGTGCTGAAATTCCTAAAGTGGATCTCAGGATGTGGCAGGACTGCTGTGAAGGTATAACCATATGTATTCCCCTGCTCCATCTTTTTTCTTTCTTTGAAGAAACAGTTTTCAAGTAAAATAACACAGTGAAACACTTAAACATCCTGAGTAGGCGAGTCTAATAAAGCTAGTTATAAGATTGTTTTTCCCATTAACGGTCCGGCTTCTAATCCCCATTCACACATCTAATTGAATGTTCCTATCTTAGATGAAGGGACCTGATTTCACATCTCTCTTAACCCCTTGAAGGTCCCTGGGAGACTTCCTGGATAGTGTGTTGTAATTCCTATGTAAACCACTCATTGTATGAGATAAATATTTCCTAAACGTTATGCATGAGCTGCCCATATTTTGTAAACACCGTTTTCATCTGAGGCAGCTTGTTAATTCCCATCGTGTTGCTCTTTAAGCTTCAGCAAGTTTACATTTCTGAGCAAGAAATGTCTAGGGTACGGCAGATTATATCAGCCAAATTTAGTAATACATAACCTCAAATAATCTGGCAGGAGTCTTTGACCTATCAGCTAACTTCTCAAATGAAAACTTTAAAAGCCTTTATCTTTAAGAAATTAAAGGGTAACCAGCAACCAGTGAGGTATATTCAATAGAGATAGGAGAGTAGACTATGGCTGTTTGTTAACAGACAAATGAAGTTCTTGATCCAAAAATGATACTTAATATGCACAGAAATTGTCCTCTTTTCTGCCTCTCTAGTTCCTGAGGTAGAAGGGACTTTAAATCCCATGTGATTCCACAACTTCTCAACATTTCTCCTGAGCCTCATTTCCTAGAAAAGATTGACCAATGTTGTTGCTTACTTCATCTCTAGCAAGCATTCCCCATAATTATGGAGGAGGTATGTTTTGATGTTCCTTGGGTGGGATAAAGTTATGGGAAATGGAGTAGAATAATAGCACAGGTAAAGACAATCCCCACTTTTTTTTTGAATGAAGTCTGAATTAGAAGAGGTGTGAACTCAGTTTAAAAAGCAGCCAGGTTCCTTATACTGGGAAAGTTTTAGAATGCTCTTGGTTTTAAATTTGGTAATTAAATTTATTTGTGATAGCTTTGGTTTGTTCTTTAGCGATCAGTAAAAACTACTCACCATTATGAGATGAAGCTAATATAGTCCAATGAACAGCTAGCTGTTGTGTAATGACCAGCACTTGGTTTCAGAGTGTGTATGTGTGTCTATAGTTACGACTATCTAATAACTATATAGCTTTACCCTACTGGAACAATAAATTTATTGATGAAAATTACTAAGTATTGTTCTAGATTATTTGTGTATGAAAATATACTACAGTACAAATTTCTGTAAACAAGCATTCCCTGAGTTTGGTATAATTCAAATTCCAAAGTTTATTTACTTATTCAGTACTTATACTTGGGCTTGTGTTTTTATGCTTTTATTATTTTTCCTATTTACTCTTATATATTTTTCCAGGTTCAGTATTAAAGTATGGGTTTTTTTCCCCCAAACATTTTGTCTTCTGGAACATTTAAGCAAGTGCCAGCTTAATCACAGCAACACACACACCCCAACACACACCCAGCAACCTTTCTTCTGCACAATAACAAAATCAGAAAATGGTCAGCAAATGTATTTCATTGGGTGATAAGTTGCTCAGTATTCCAAATTTGTCTTATTTTCATCTGTGACCACTGACAAGTACTCCCAGTCTTCAGCCTTCCCTAAATAAGCTGCTGAAAGCCTCAAATCTCTGCTTTCCACAGATCTACCTAGTTAGACATCCTTGATGTTTGTTCAGACATCTGACTACCCAGAACAGTGCTGTTAGTGGGGCATTTTGATGAACAAATCTCCTATTAGTAAGAGATAACATTTCACATTGACATACCTCTCAGTACGCCTGGTATGTGACTTTGAAACCTTACTTTCAGATGTTTTAACATTTTTATTGAGTTAGAAATATTTATTTGTGGTGATTTTAGTGCTTTTATGCTCTGAGCTACCCGGAGTCACTTCAAAAGGAGATGGGTGACAGATAAATACACAAAGAAAGAAATAAATTGAAGATACCTATTTATTCTTAACTCTGCTCCACCCATGCCTTCATAAGATAAATGCAATAATCTGTGGCAGAATTTATTAGGATTAAATTTAGCTTCTAAACTGAGCAAGGCTGTGGCAGAGAAGGTGGAGAGAATGCTGTTTTGCAGAGCTTGAATAAGATTGGGGTGTACAGAGTTTTGGCAAGTGACCTGAAGGAGGCTGCTTAACATTTAGCTTCTCATCCAAGAAGCTTCTTCAGTTCCAGAACTGAAGAAGTTTCTTGGATGAGAAGTGAAATATTTTCAAGGCGAAAACCAAGAAAGTCCCATGCCTTGGGGAAAAAGCATCGTTGGGATTGTGGGATCATAATTACAATAGGATGAAGAAAATGACACCCAATCCTAACTTTGAACCCAATCCCATTGGTAAAAATCAAGCCATTATACTACAGTGCCTTCAACCTACAAGTTGTTTTTCCTATAAACATCATTGATTCTATAAAAGGCAATCCAAGATGATTCCGTTCCAGAGCTATGTCTGGACTAGTGGAGGAATGTGTCCATTTCTTCTAATATCTTTCTGAGCATCTTCACTAGGAAGGAATATTAGTAGCTAAATTATGGTTATTAGTATCAAACAGATCCAGAAAATGTTTTGTAAAGTATCCTATGCTATCATCTTCTATAAGACATTTTAACACCTTTCCTCATTCAATACATTTTACTACCCTCTGAGCCCATAATTTCCTTCCTTTCTTGCTTTCCAGCATCAGCAAGTAGTTTAGCTTGTGAAGCTATAAAAAGAAATGCAATATATATTATCTAGACTAAATGATTACATCTATTAACATGGTAGATTCTTCTCAGATGCATGAGGTTTTGCTGAAAAAAATGGAAAGGATATATTTCAATTTTCCAATACAATAGTTTCTATTCTGGAAGAAACATTGTTTGTTCATGTTTTAAAAAACTGAAGTCTTAACAAAGTTTGGGATCTTCTGTTTAATTTCAGATTGCAGAACTAGAGGACAATTCAATGCATTTTCTTACCACTTCCGAGGAAAGCGCTCTCTTGATTACAGTTTCCGGGAAGACAAGCCTTCAAAGCAGCTAAAAACACGGAGAGCATCAAGGTACACATTGCATTTTTTTTTACTTGCTACTTTTAACATTTATTGTGCTGCTTATGATTTAGTTGCCTGAAGCGTAAAACCCAAAACATCTCAGCAAGTGTTTTTTAATGTGATCGTATGTCCAAGTTATTATTTCGATCAACTTGATTTTTTTTTCTTCCATCATGTCAATTTTGGGGAAATGTCCATAATTTGCCAAGTAAGAGGTCAACTTGTTTGATAACTCAAAAAATATTTCAAAAACTATTCTTAGTTAGGTGCACTATTACAGCAATTTTGCAAGATTGCAGTGAGAGATTCAGGGAGTAATTTTAAAAGCTGCATACAGCCTTTTTGGGAAAAGGGCAAACGCAGGCTGTGGCTGCCTTTTAGAATCTTCTTTGCTGGCATTCACGACTCTGGTTTTAAAACACCACCAAATTAAAAAGCATCTTTGAGCTATTATTTATTTCACAATGTACAAATCGGGTTTGCTTCCCAAATACAGCATAAACTAGAGTTCTGTTAATTATTCTTTTTTACTTAGTATTAGTTTGAATCCATTTAGGATTAGGGCTAGATTTGGATTAAGCCAGTGATGGTGAACCTTTTAGAAACCGAATACCCCAAAACTGCCCCTCACCCCACCCCCTGCTCCACCCACCCTCAGGCCACCCACCACCTCCATGGTTGCCGCAGATCGCCCAGCAGTGCCATGGTGGCCACGCCCTCTACCCACACCCCACAGCATCATCTGCGCATGATGGGGCGCAAGGGCAGAGTCTTGCCCCCACTGCCCGGCTGCCATGTCCTTGGGTGCGTTGCTCCATGCAGGCTGCGCCTGGGGGTAACTCTCCTCCAGGGGGCTGCTGGTGAGGGGGTGCAGGGGGAAGCGGGGCTGGATTAAGCAGGGGGAAGCCACCATTGGATTAAGCAGTCTAGAGTAGACTGCCACCCTTCTCTTGATTAGGCTCAACATATCATGTCCAGTAGGAGCTGTGATTTTGTAACTCCACCCTTATGTGGGAGGGAGTATGCATGTCATTATCCATTCAAGGTAATGACCTAGTGATGGCTGCATCACATGGGGTTGTTTACATTGATGACATCACTGACTGCATTGCCCTCATATCAGAAGAACCAAGATGCTTCCTGGTTGAAAGGATTAGCAGGTGACATCACCATTGCTCGGGTGATGCCAGTTGGGGGCTCCTTTTATGTCCCTGGCAGGAGCTGGAGTGAAGGATGGAAGCTTACCACACCCCATGGCAGCACCCGGGTCTTGAACGCAGTCCTGCTAACCTCCAACACAGCATCTCAACCATGTGAGCCACTGTGCTCCCACATCACTGATTAAACAAACAGATAAGGCACCCCAAAGTTAGCATACAGGTAGTCCTCAATTTACGACCCCAGTTAAGCTCAAAATTTCCATTCCTAAACAAATACTTGTTAAATGAGTTTTGCCCCGTTTTATGATGGTTGCGATTCACAATTGTTAAGTGAAACATTGCAGTTGTTAAGTTAGTAAAATTAAACATGGCATTAATGGATTTCTTGCAACCCAGCTTCCTAACTCTGTGCCCCAGGCCCTGTCCTCATCATTTCCAAATTTATTCCAGAAAATATGAGAATTCCCCAGAAGAGGTTTTGAGACAGCCAGCAAACCTGCAATAAAAGAAAAAGACAAGGCTATTTCAGTTGGATACAAACCACTGTTTTTTAGACTGACAAAAGTCTTTTCTCAGGAAGAAGAATTTATTCTGCACAATGGGAGTCTATTTCGGGAATGGAGACTCAGAAGCAGTGAGCGGTATTAGATTAAGCAGTATCTCAATACAAAATACGAGGGCAATTTGGAAATCAACTTCAGTTTGGTTATCAATGACAGACACTCGCAGATACAGAACTTTTGTTATATACATTAGAAAACTACAACATTACATTACTTTTCAACATAATTGCCATTCAAATTGAGGCGCTTGTCATAACATCTTACAAGGTGTGAAATTTTTTAATAGTAATCGCTCAGCACCAAATATGGGCTATGGGGGGGGATCAAAAACATCCAAACGGAATTGCTTCAAAAGCTCTTGGATATGTGTCTACCGGTGTGCGGGCGAGCATTATCGTGAACCAACACCACATCGGAAGTCAGAATGCCCCGACACTTGTTATGGATGGCTCATCTGAGTTTTCATAACGTTTCACAGTAGCCTTCTGAATTGATGGTTGAACCACGCTCCATGAACTTCACTAGGACTACTTCTTTGGCATCTTAGCATTTGGCGGGATTTTCTATGGCACCACTTCCAGTGTGCTGTTGGTTCACAATAAGATATTATGTTAAATGCCTCAATTTGAATGGCGATTATGTTGAAAAGTAATGTTGTAGTTTTCTAATGTGCATAATAAAAGTTCTGTATCTGCGAGTGTCTGTCATTGATAACCAAACGGAGGTTTATTTCCGAATTGCCCTCATATTTGAGTTCATTCTGATAAATTAAAGAACTTTGGTGTACTTCATTAATCCTGACCAAGGTCCCGCAAGCAAGAGCTCTCCTTTTCCAGTCCTTCTGTAAGATATACTTTTCTAGTACAGGTAGTCCTCGAGTTACGAATGTAACTGAGCCTGCTAATTACAGTACATTCGTAATCTGAGAATTTGTAGTAGTGAATTGCGTAACTTGAAAGCGATTACTCCCTGCTTTTGCCCATGCATTCACTAACTGAATATGCAGGTCATTAAGTGCACACGAGGTATCTCAGGGTGGGGAAGGCAATGGGGGAGCCTAATGCAGAGACAAGACCACTGTGTCCAGCCATCCCCTACCCATTGAGAAACTCCATGCTCCTCTTTCCACATCTTGGGGACCCAAGCTACTTGGCCCTTTTGTCCCCACCCCATTACTGACTGCTAATTTGTGCCATGTTTGAAAGACCCGCACTTTCCACGCTCACCTCCTGAGCGTCTTTGAATGACGGAGCTCTTGTCCAGCTGGGTGGAGAAGTGCCAGACCAGTCTCTCTCCTTCCCCATCAAGTCCCAGCCTCTCTCTCACAAGAGGGTACGCCCCTGCCCTGCCACCTGCTGGAGTGCCGAACCTGCCCAGGTTTCACAAATTGCGCCGCTAGAGAGTTTCCAACTTCACAAGATTTTTTTTTTTCACAAGAACTTGGAAGGTCTGACTTAACTTTATTTTTAGTCCCACGAACTTCTTTTGTTTCCCTGCACATTTCTTCCATTTGCAATGGAGTGTTTTGTAAGCGGCACAGCCAAGAGCAGCGGTCAGGCAATGGAAGGTATTCTCCATTCCATTCTTGCTTGGAGGGGAACCAAGATTACCTGTATGTCCTTATCTAACCGTCACAAAGCAATGGAGCTGCAAAGAACAGCTTCGCCCAGACATTTGAGGTCAGCCTCCCATCCTCCCCCAGGCTGCCTCCAGTTCCAGGTTAGAGGCCGAGGCCATGAATGGGATTCCAGACTGGCATAGCCATGCTTGCAACGAGGAGTGAGCGGGTTCTACCAATCTGTGCTATGCAAAGCAGCAGATCGGGAACGACTGCTGTGATGCTGCAACATACATAACTTTGGGACCCTACTTTTGGTGGGGATGTCGTAACTTTGAATATTTGCTAAATGAAGTTCGAAACTCAAGGATTATCTGTATTCAGGAGGAAACATGATGAGATTTACTACTGGGACCATATTTTCTACAATCAATAGTCTACATGATGTCATAACACTGAAGATCCATTGTCATATGTCTTTTTTTGGGGGGGGGGGCTTGGCTGATCACATACATTCAGCATATGGAGCCAGAATCAATGCATATCTCTTTTGCTTGCCAGTATATTTTAAAAAAAATTCATTACACGTATTGCATGTAACACATAAAATTTCATGAATAAATATAATATACTAATTTTTTAAACGTGATTTAAACTGCATGTATTCAAATTTCCCACCCAGCAAATTGGGTCCTCAGGTCATCTCCACGTGCTAGTAATAATGCATTAAAGATAGCCTGTACAAGGTAGACAACCAGATTTTTTTAAAACATCGATGCCTCTTCTGCACAATGTATGTAACTTACTTTTCTTCTTGTTCCAGTTTTACAAGAGCAAATGCATTGTTTAACAGCACAACTTCATCTTTTGATGAGCACAAGAGAACGCCCATAATGAATGATTTCAAAGAATTTGTTGGAGATATGCAAAAAACAATTACAGACCTCAGAAAACAGGTAAGTTTGAACAGTTCTTCAAATAACATTAAATGCTAAAATGTTTTTGGAGTCAGCTTAAGAGTTGAAAGGATACTTCCTGCCCGAGTAGGAGGGTGGCAGTTTTTACTTATTCCCCACGATATCAAAACCCTGCTTGGGACAATTGGTGGACACACCAGGGATCCTTAAAGATGGTGTGGCAGGGACTGTAGAATTGTGAAAATCAGTAGACATGTCTGTTGTATCACCATCTCTTCAAGGAGGAATTCTGATTAAAGTTTGCATGCTTTAGGAAAACGTATTTGTGTGATATACAATTGCTTAATGTTTTTCATTCAAGCAAGGTATTCTTTTGAAATATACTAAGATCAAATATTATCCTAGATTAGGTGTTGGATTAGGATTTGGGATTCTCAGATTCAAGTTTACCTCATTCATGAAAGCTCACTTTCTCATAACACACTCTAACCTACAGGGTTGTATGGGGAAAAGTTGGAGGAAGAACTATTATATATATGCTGACTTAAGTTCCTAGGAGAGACAGGTTAGCAAACACATTACTATGGTGCAGAAACTACAATTTGATTTGAATCTGGAATGAAAATCCAGATTCATATTAGCTTTGCAATGTTCTGGGAGTGACCTTAGATCAGTTGCTTTCCAAACAGAATTGTGTAAAGATAAAGTTGAGGGACAAATTGAATGAGAAAGGAGAAGAAAAAATAACCAAGAAAGTCTTTTGTCTTTTCTTCCCCATGTATTTTTGTTCTACAACCTCCTTACACTTTGAATCCAAGATACACTTACGACATGCAGAAGTGAATCTGGCCAATAGTTCTTACATGATTAAATGTGCTTATGACTGGATTATCACTGTGTGTGTCCATCACATCCTTCCGGTTCTCTTCTAACTCCGTGTTTGATTAATGGACAAGCAAAACTTCCCAAATCAGCCTGGTTTGAGTCTGTTCTTTCTTCTTTTTAAGGATGGAGTGGCGAAACAGGTTTATATCCTAAATGACATTTTTCTGCAGGAAAGGAACAGAATTAAAATACATACTTTAATGCACAAAATGTCAAAGAAATTCCAAAGGGAGCCTGTGATTTTTTTTTTTTTAGCTGCTGAATGCCTCCCATTCCTTATTTATTGTCGTGCAAAGCAACTTTACCATCTCATGTATCTTATGTTGCCATCTTAGTACAGAAGTTCTCAGTAAAATGCACATGACATTACCATGAGAATTTTTAAGGGTGTTCTATGGCTTTGTTACATTGCACATAAACGGAAACAGAAGTCCTTTTGGCACTGATGGATAAACAACATTTCCCCCGTTCAGATAAAGAAACTTGAGTCACGGCTCAGTAGAACCGAATGTACTGATGCAAATGGCAAATCTTATTCCAGTAATGAAACGTGGAAAAAAGACCCCTGCACCACATGTGAATGCAAGGTGAGTTTAACATGCTTTTAGGCACACATGTATGCATGTGTTCTTGGCCATGTGTCTCCTGGCATGTAGTGAATCTTCCTGAGAAATTTGTGGAGGGCTTGCAACTTTCCATATTTATATTCAGGAGTTTCTTTTTGCTTGTATGAAAATGTTATTGTTATCATAGTTTCACAGTGTTTGGGTCTGCCGCTTTGACTGCCAAGGAGAAAAGCTGCTGCTTTTCAACTGACCGGATTGTCTCCTTGCCAAAAAAACTGCTGCCAGAGAATGTAGAATTGGCAAATTGGGCTTCCTGAAAAATCTAAACTGTTGCTACTTTTTTTTTTTTCTTAGAAAACAAGGTTTCTAGCCCATTTGGCTATGAAGCTACATAGCTAATTTTTTTTTTTTTTTTTAAAGAAAGGGATTGTTTAGTTCACAGTATTCTGGCCTGAGGTTACCACACACTTCAGTGCCTGGATTTTCTCTTGTCCTCTTAGTGGTGAGTAAAACCAAAATAAATGGTATTGAGTCAGAATAAAGTCAGGCAGTTTGCAGAACTTTTGCATATTAAATTTAACAAGTCGTCAAGACAAACTAATTCTGAATTACTGCCTTTATATTTTCTGTACCCACTTGAGCTTGTTTATTTGAAGGGGAAATCTCTTTTAAGATTGCTCAGAACAACTCGGAAGTAAGTCTCATCAAACCTGGTGTGACTCGCTTCTAAGAAGACCCTCACAACAATGCATGTTACTCTATTGCACAGTTATATTTGAAAGTTTGAGACAATCCAGCTGTGGTCTGTATAAAGTTCCCTTCTCTGTATGTTTAGCAAGGAGGCTTGTGATCCATAAAAGTTTATGCATTTTGAAATTTGTTTCAAGTTTTTACAATGCCCTAAGCCTTGGAGGCAGAGTAGTATGTGTGTGTGCTGCTGCAAGATACTGAAACAACTAGTCCATGGAAACTTTCTGGAGCCCTGACATCAATAACATTTAATAACATAATGTTTATATCTAGGACTTAATAATGTCCTTTCACAACATATAGAAAGATTTAACCATAGTTTTAATTGGGAAAATGTGACATTCCTAGACTAGGCCAAATCCAAAAATGCCAGGGAATTTCTAGAAGCCTGGCACTCTGACAAATCAGCCATCAAGAGACACATAGACATTAACAACATCTATAGACTATGCACAAGAGACAAATCAACTAGCCCCAAAGAGAAAAAGACTCCAGTACCTCCCAACCAGTAATCAGCATTCAGGTCAGCATAGATTAACTCCAAGGTCACTTTCAGACCAACAATCAAGTAAGCAACACCCCAATCAAGAAACTGCCACAGAGCCACTGGTAAACAGCCCAACCAAAGATTCCCTAAGACTGCCCCCACCCAAAGAGACAGGCAAGACACCAGAATATAAACTGACAGCAAACAGCACTCCTTACTAGCACAGATGATGTTACCTAGTTAGGGTAACGAAATGTCTGCAAGTAAACAAGCAAGCTCAGAGAGCACCAAGGACCCCTCACTTAATAATGTAAATATTTCAACTTATTCATTTTGTTTTGGTGGGCAGCTGCCAAATATATATATGTCACTGCATTCAGAATGTCATCATGCTTCCATAGTGCTTCCATTCATACAAATTACTGAAAACTTGGAAGAACCCTCCTAGTTCAGAGCAAAACCCATGGAATTAAATATTTTGTCTCACAGAGCTTATCAAAAATCATTGAAAAAAATCCAAGCATGAGAGCATGAAAGTCTTCAGATAAAAGTGCAAAATATGTTTTTAACAGATTGCTGACTTTTATAAAATGGTACTTCAAGAGATGGCTAGCAATCATTGAACAAGCTGTGCATATTAATATTTGTTTTGTTTTGTTATCATTGTTACTCCAGTTTATACCTTACCTTCCTAGATAATGGCATTTAAGGAACAGAGGTCTGCATGATACAGTATATAAATGGAGCAAGATCTCCTTCTCTTTAGAGATTCTCCTTGATCCAAAAATTGATTAAGTTCAAGAAAACAGTGACCCAGTCTAGTTACAATTACTTCACACACAGATTTTTCCCAATGTATCAAGCAATGTGAAGCTTTCTCCACTCTTTGTTTGTCCATTGATTTGTGCATAATATTTTCATTCAGAATCCAGCAAGCAGCTTAGTGTTAAAATATTTACATAGCCTATACTGTATGAGCAATACATGCCCAAATCTCAAATGCACGTACTTCAGTAACATGTTAATATTATCTTTTCTTCTTCTTTTTTATTTTAAAAAGTAACTAAACTATCACTTTCTGCCTTTTAAAATGCAGGTTGGTCAGGTCACCTGTTATGTGGAATCGTGTCCATCACTTGATTGTGCTACACCTGTGAAGCTGAAGGGCATTTGCTGTCCCGTGTGCCTAAAACAAACCGTTAGCAAGGGAAACGCACCCTAAGTCTCAATTGTCACATATCAAGTCATATTGATATCTACCAATGGCAAATACAGGTAACAGTAGGCTTTAAACCACAATAGACAACCAAGAGGTTAAAGGAGAATAGCATTCAGGTGATGGGGTAATAGTGTAAGAAAATCGATTTTACTTCCTTATCCATTGGAAAACCACAAGGTGAAAAGTATTGAAAGGGAAACAGTGTTAGTCAAGATAATTTTATCTTGAAACTTCTCAGGTTCAAGAAATTAAAAACTGGTGCTATTTTTTTGAGAAACATTTGTTTAGTTTTTTAGGCTCCCAGGTTGATTTTTTCTTTCTTTGTACACTGGTAGGAAATCAGGTGCCATTAAAGGAAATAAGGTCCACATAACATAATGCCTAGGTTTACATATTGTATTATGTGGTTCTGTAAACCATGGCTTAGTGTTTGGTGTACTTCCAGCCATTATAGTTTAGTGAATGCACCATGGTAAAATCAAGGCTTAGTGCAATATATGAACACAGATATTGCCTGGAGTCATACATCATTCCACTCATACTTAACCATGTCATAGTGAATAAACCACAATTGGCTGAATTCAGACAGTGTTAGGTCTGCCATGTTTGGGCTACAGAACTCTGCAGTACCAGTAGATGTTAGCAAAGGATGTACGAGAAAATAATATTTGGACTTTTGGATTCCAGTTCTGTGGCAATGAATAATATGCTAAGCTATAAACAAAGTTTTTCAAAGACCAGGGTGGCTGGTTTCATACAATACAGTAAGCAAAACTAAACAAAGCAAATGTTTTAATATGATACAAACATTGGGTCAGTATCTTTCTAACTTGAAAGATACAGATATTTGACTTAGAAAGCTAATCATGCTGGAATGTCATTGCCACAATAACACAATCATACTCTATCTTGCAGTATTAATTCTAATTGAATTTAAGAATGAAAAATCTTAATTTTGGCATCTGTTTACACACCAGTTGTATTAATTAAATCTTGCCCTATCCAATCATTTAACTTCCAGTTTAATATAATGTTTCCCAAGTTTGAAAACTTCCATATTTTTATGGATTTTAGTGCTGGAATTCCTTGGCCAGATTGGCCTTTGCTAACCATTCTTGGAGATGAAGTCCAGACCAAAGGAAGTTGACAGGTTTGGAAAACTCAGTTAAAATATTCATAAGTTTGTGGTACAACAAACTTCTGACTCTCCACCACACTTTACTAGAGGAATGGCTGTAACATAAGAATCAATAACTTAATTCACAAATCTATGTATGCATGAGAAAAAGGATACAGAAAATGAAAATCATAACACATTATCACACTTTTAGACTTTTGAAAATATGTACTTCTTGGTTTAAAGGGCAATTGCTCAGCTGCTTTACATTTTTCACCTGTGTTACATTTTCTGTTTGTTGCCATTCTTGTCTCAGTTGAGATGTTTAGGCTGCCTGTACTTCCATTTCCTATCTACATTAATTCATCTTTCTTACATATAGTACTGCAAACTTGCTCAAGTGGTCCAAGAAATCTGCCACATCAGAACTTAATTTACAGATGTGAAATAATCCCAGAATTCAAATAAGTCTGGGAACTCTCATCCTTATGATGTGGATATTGTCTGTATTCATTCCATGATAATATTTGACTCTGCCCAGAACCATTATTATCATATCTTCTGAGGCTGAGCCAGCTAAAAGGATGTGAGGATTGTTTCATAGTGACTCCTGCCACAAATTAATTCTGGCTCCCATAAATATTCAGCTGTTTTAGGCATCCATTTTTCATTATTCACTTACTAACCAGCTTATATGTACTCACATTTTCCTACTTTATATCTTAGCGATTGCAAATAACCCACATTTGTGCCAAGAAATAAAGCATTATGGAAGACTCCCTTATCATAATAAACCTTAGGCACAGAATGATGACTGAAGAGGTAGGAGGCATTATGCCGTTCTGGGAAATATGTAACAATAGAGAAATTAATCAAACAGTTATTAAAACAATGGAAGAGTTAAGAACCCTCTTGGTAATATTGTGTTTGCATATGCCACAATAATTTCTGAAATCTCTTATCTCTTCTAGCGCTTTTCTGACATTTAATGCCAAGTGCATTCTGACCTCCCAGAATCTATTTTTCCAAATAGTTTAGGGCTACCAGATCAGTATTTCTTTGCTACCATTTAATAGTTATCTGGATTTTAGCATCCCAGATCTGGTAGCTTTAAATATACTCATGTCCTCTTAGAAAATGCTCCAAGACAGTGTTTTTCAAATTTTTCAGATTTAAGATTTGTGGACTTCAACTCCCAGAATTCCCCAGCAAGCATGAGTTACATACATCTTAACATTGTTAAGATTGTCCCAGAGGTGCTTTGGCCAACGGCAACTGGAAGATGTTTCACTTTTCATCCAAGAAAATTCTTCAACTCTGAAAGTCCAGTTGCCTTTTGAAAAAACACCTTTGACCAAGAATCTCTGTAGACAGTTGTTAAGATTGAAAACACTGTTATAGAACATGCCTTAATCAATTGTTCCAGAACTGACCTAAGTCAGGTTCAACAAAATTGCTCTTTGTATGGCTTGGATCCCATAGTTTTAAATATAGTTACAGCTAAAGATATAGATAACAGCATTTTTGGCTTGAGGACCAGGAAGGTTTAAACTATGATTCTCCAATGAGCTTCTCCCCTGATATGCTAACTCAGAAGATACCTTGAAAATGTGAACATAAAAACCAATAGGTGAGGGTTTCAGGAAAAGATTAATTGGATGTAGATACTAGCATCATACTGGTTAAATATACAATTTTTCAGGAAAATACATCTTCAAAATTACATTCACCTTCTGACCTGAATTATTGTGTAGCCTGAAAACAAATGTCATGCATTCATCTGTGTATAAAAGGTGCCAACCTTTAATGAAAATGCTGCTAAAGCTTCTCTAAAATACTTTGTGAACAAATGAGTTGTACTGAAGCAGTGTGCATAGAGTAGCACCTAAAATCTATTGATCCTAGATGGATTGTTGCATGATTTTGCAATAAAATCTGTTAATATGAAGGAACAAAACATTTCAAAGTCTTTGGTTACATGGCGCCTGTTTTCTCTACATAGTACTTGTGTCAAAATCATGTTAAACATTACTATTTGTGAATCTGTATGCCCAGATATGTGTTTTAAGGACTGTTATTATTATGTCTACATTAATTTAGCATTGTTTACCTGTATTTTCAATATTGCCTTTTTTATAACCAACCATATATTATTACAGTCAGCGAAGAAAAGCTCTCATACCTCATTTGACCGATGTGTTTGTCTTCACGACTGGTACTTCAGCAAATCATTAATTTGTAGAATTTAGCCATCTTCTGAAGTGACATTAATCAATTTTCATATAGTTTCAAAAAGAGAAATTAACCATGGGATTTGTTCAGTGTGTATTCCACCAGCATCTGTTAATAGCTGCTTTATAAAAGTATTTTGAGAATACATAGCAATCGATAAACACATTTTATAGAATTTTTTAAAGACTACTATCTTAAACATCTTTACTTAAAAGTAAGCCCAATCTCAGTAGGACTTATAACCAGATAAACAGGTACAGGATTGAACTTAAAAGCAAATTCCTAGATAAAGATTTGACTTTGATGCCGATGATGCGAATTGTACTTAATTTTAAGGATTACCTGTTAGGTCTTTCAGAACCTCAGTAAATCCTGTATTTTCACAATCCAGATCACATTTTTTGTAGGGATTTTCTCTAGAATTGTTTCATATTTGGGCAAATTCACAAATTATGATATATAACCATAACTGAAGCACATTACTGCAGATATACAACATGTTGAAATCTTAAGTTACTAATATCAATTTATTTTGATGCTGCAGATACACTAAAAAAAATCTGCTCAGGTATTTTGCAAAACAGGCTTATGCAAATCTACTCAAATTAAGTCATATTAAATATCTCTGTGTGTGGGGGTGTCTGTACCCAAATAAAGGGGTACAGGGTTGCACCATGGTCACTGAAGAATATCTTTTCCAAGAATCAGTAACCAAACAACTCTGGCTTCCTATATTGAAATGAAATATTTGATCTCCATGCAAAAATCCAATGAGTCATTGAAAAGAGGGTTTGTAGCCCATTTCTGTTAACACTATAATCAATATTGTTCAAATAATATGTAAAATGATGTAACTTCCAGCATTTATAGCTAAACAAATAGCAGGAAATGTTTGGTGTTAAACAAATAGACCTAATTCTATAATTATCACGTAAACCAAATATTATAAAATGATTTTTTTTACATTTTTTGCCAATTAAAAATTCATGTAGCATTTTTGAGACAGTGGCCGATGGCTGAATGATCATTTTTTTCTCAGTATTTTGTTGGTGGCAATTGTTCCATATTTATTTACTTTGTTAAAATTCCTACCGAAAATAAAATTTACTTGCTTTCTTCTACTTAATAAATCTACCAAAGAATTGTTTGCACTGTTATGAATGCTTTTCATTTACAATAAACAGGTCACATTTTTTTAAGCTGGAGTCATGATAAATTATTTCTGATGATTTATTCACACCATGAGCTGCACTGATGAAATACGTAGACAGTAACAGAAGCATTGTGGGGAATTCAAATGGCAGGTGTTGCTAAGACTTATCACCCAACCCTGCCTTTTCTAAGTATTGCCCTTCTCTACTGTCTGTAAAAAGAAGTCGCCACATCAGGGCAGTGCAGACTTCCAGGTTGAGAACAGAAAGATGGGTCACAAGGAGAAAAACAGCTTTTCTAAAACTGAGGCCATTTCCAGAAGTGGCTAGTATGACATCTACATAGCCACACATTTACAATTTTGACCAGCAGTGTTTGCAGCAAACCACAGGGACACCAAAATCACCACACTGACACAATGGAAAGGTAAAGGTAAAGTTTCCCCTGTCCAGCTGTGTCCAACTCTAGGGGGCGGTGCTCATCTTAGCCCAGGGAGCCCGCATTATCAGAAGACATTTCTGTGACTATATGCCAAAAGTACACGGAGTGCTGTTACCTGCCCACCAAAGTGGTACCTATTTATCTAACTCAAATTTGTATGCTTTTGAATTGCTTAGGTGGGCAGGAGCTGGGGCAAGTTAATGGGAGCTCACCCTGTTGCACAGCGCTCAGGGTCTCGAACCCAGGCTTTCAGCTTTCCAGCTGACAAACTCAGCATCTTTAATTGCTGAGTCTTCACGTTCCCCTCCACACACACACCCAATGATACCATCGCATAAATGCCACCACTACAAAACTTGTGTTCTGACATCTGATGTTAATGTGCACATTGCAACAATTGTGTAGTATCGCTATGCATATATCATTTGCTCTCCCTTCCTATCCCTAGGCACCCATGATTGCGAGCAGATGTAGTGAGAGTCTGTTTTGTAGCCTCAAGATATACATGTAAATATAATTTTCCTGATCAGCTGCCAGATCATAAGAAAGGATAGGTCTTTATTCCATGGGCTTTTCACCATCTTTCTGATTGTGGATCCCTGTTTGGGTGACTGTGTTGCCCTATGGGAGCTCAGGTTGCATGGATATTTGGGTCTTCATCTATGGATATGCCCATGTTGCTTCTCCACCAGAGCAATTTACCAAGTTTTCTTTTTTTATCTTCCCACTCTAGCCTAAGAGGTTCGCAACCTTGGTTTTTCATGTTGGTTTCTCATCCAAATATTAAGCAGCTCTAGTAGTAATATTTGCATTAACTATGAGAAGATGGGGTAAAAAGACTTGGTCAGATTACAAGACTGGATTGTGGTTTTACAATGTGCAAACTATTGAAAAAAAAAGATTTCTTTTAAGATCTAACCCTAATATAATCGCTCTATGCACAGTCAGCTTTATCTCAATTTAGAATCTATAAAAGCAGATGATCTCTGCTAGCTGATGGCTGCACAATTTTATTTCACATTTCAAGTGTTGCCTACCCATTTTTGTATTTTCAACTAACATTATTTATTACAAAGTTCTGGTGAGCCAGTTGTTTTGCGTCATTTTGCAAACCAGAAATTGGGATTTTTCTGAATTACTGAATGCCTCTTAGATGCTATTGGGGAAGACAAGTATCTGCCCTGTTTTGTCTGTACTCTTTAGGTCAATTAAAATGAGCTAACTCTTTCCCACCCTTTCTCATTCTTTCCTTCCTGTTTTCTTAAATGCTCAAGGTAGTGAACACAAGAATGTTTCTTGATTTTTACCCCTATAACAAGCGGTGGGGTTGGTTGCACTGACAGCCAATCAACCAGTGATTTCTATTTTTAAAACAAGTAGATGTTTGCTGTATGAGCTGGGGTTTGCTATAGATCTGGCTAAAAAAAAAAAAAAAGCTTTAAAGCTTCACTTCTGGCTACCTTCAGGACCTGCTGTGACCTTTGGCTATTAGTGCTTTTGCTTTGTTTTCTTAGCTTCTAAGCTTTCCAAAAAGAACTTGGTTATCATTATCTACCTTGTTCAACATCCTGTCTATTTCAAGGGCATTCTTGGAAATTCATGTTTTCCCTCAAACTAAAAAAGTACTAACTTACTAATTTTAAATATTAGACTTCAAAACAGCTTTCCTAGGTTGGCTTACAGCTCTAAATTTTTACCATTAAAACTTTAAAAATACAGGCAGCAATATAAGTGTTATATATCATAGCATCAGTCCCTCAGTGAGGAACAGTTCAGAAAATCAATTCCACAAGAAGGCTAAAACTACTTTTATTAAGACTATAATAAAAGATTTTTGCAAGTCTGATTTAATTTAGTAAATTAGGGAGGTGCTTCTGAAGTTATTGCTATGTGCCACAAAGTTGATGTTAACTCAGCAACTACATACAGCTGTACCAATTTGGCCCTTCAAGTCTTCCAGTAATGCACCTATCACTGCAGTAATCAAGTCCATTTACCTCAGGGGTGTCAAACTCTATTTCATTAAGGGCCACATTAGCATTGTGGTTGCCCTCGGGGGTGCCAGGAGAGACGGTGTGTGTGTGTGGCCGACTGGCTGGGTGGGCATGGATGGCTTGATGTTGCTCGCATCGGGAGGTGCTGTGGGGGGAGGGGTGGGCAGGGCTGTGGGAGGGATCTGAGGAGGGGGATGGGACTGGGGCAGGCACCGGAGCCTGGTCCAACAGAGGAACCTTGCCATCTCTCTTGGGCCACACAGGGGGCCCCCAGATGGTGGTGTGGGCTGCTCAGGCCCTGGTCAGTGGGCACTGGGCCTTCATGACCTGACCTGGCACCACTTCCTAAGGGGTGCCCCACTGTGCATGGGGCACTCCAGATCTGGGCTTGGGCAGAGCACTGAGGGGAGTCCTGGCTGCCTCTTGCAGGTGCAGGCTCCCCACCTTTCCTGTTTGCCAGGGCCATTGGGGATGTGGCGGTGGGTGGGAGGCTCATCCTGCATGTGCAGCAGAGCTGGAGAATGAAGTTGGATGGCAGAGATGACCACAGTGTGGTGGTGATGGTGACTGGTTGGACTGCCTTGCTGCAGCCGAACCATATATCTTTGCGTGCCTGCACTCACCATGGCTGGCCTCCCAGTGCATGCCGGATCATATGCCTCTGCCTCTACTTGCTGCTTGGAGGGCCAGCCCAGTGGTTATGCTCGGACTCACTTGTGCTGCATGGGCTGCAAGATCCCGGGATGCCTCCTGTGCGCATGCCCATGGGGGCACCCGGCTGGGCTGGGCCAGGACAGTGGGGACCAGTCCATCGCCATCTCGAGATCTGGGCCCATCGTGGTCCATGGGCCTTGAGTTTGACATGTCTGATTTACTTTGTTTCTAGTCATCCATTTTTTTTTTTCATCTTCCCAGAATTATAAACTTCACACCAAAGCATATCCTGCTTCCTCAAGTTAGAAAGTGTCACAAGAAAATTGCCGGCATGATTCTCATCTTTGTAGCATCTGGTAACTTTTCCAAGGCCTTCATTGCTATATGACCAAGCACTAGTTTGTGGTGGGGATGTGGCTTGTGGTATGTGCATATTTTTCAATTTCCAGGCTAGGCTGAGATAGGCAAGGCTGGCTCATGGTAACCCAGCTGGTTTCTGTACTTAAGGAAGGCCTAGAACCACTATATCACATTGATCTAGATGCGTGCCCAACAGTTATGTATCTTGTCATGAAGTAGAAACTGGTGATGGGAATTTTCTATTACCTTGCTGGAGTTTACTTTGGAAACATTGAGAGGTAGGGAAGGGAAGGCCTAAGATTTGCTTGCCCTGGATCCTTAACACACACATATACACACACCATAAAACACACTGTTAAATCAGTCAAAAGCAATCTATTTTGCTAGGTGGTATTTACCAAGGGAGCATTTAATTTGGCTCTGAGATATCACTTGCATGCGCATTTCTTCATGTTTACTTTTACTATAGTTGAATAAAATGGCTCTTCCACTATCGTGTCTAAATCACCCCTTGTTCGCTCTCATTCTCCTTTGTGTTCCTTGGCTGTCCTTCTAAATGGTCCTCATGAAAGCTTCAGCTTCCTATGTGACTGTTCAGCTTCATAATTCCTTTTCCTCTGCCTCTCTATGGAGCCTGTTTTTTTCTTAGCAAAATTTCCACTGGACTAAGGAGAGCTTTTTGCTTCAGCTATTGCCATGGGGATATTATTGTGTCTTTGGGTTCTCCATAACTGTGAAAGGAAGTGTGTTGTTCAAGGTGTTGCCTCTGGTACACAGTTGGATGCTTTGCCAAATTTGACCAATGATGGATATCCTTCCCTGGCTTGTTCTTTGCAGAGTTGGTTGAGGTGTTCTGAAGAAATACAGCTATCCTGTCACTCCTCTTTCTGCAGATCTGGATGGAGAATCCCAACAGCAGAATTTCTCTTGTCAGCATCCTCTTTCATGCTGAGCTGCCTCAGATCTGCCAGATGTATTCCATTTTAATGCAAGGGAACCCGGAACATTACTCACGTAATAATTCTGATTTAATGGCTTTTAGCTCACCTTTCTGCTGGGCTATTAGCTTAAACGGAACCACACCTTCAAGCAGAAAGACACCAGTTTGAATAAATTTATGCATTCGGAGCTCTTTGTCAAATGACCCCAAAAAATCATGTTTATATCTTAATTCTTTGATGCTTAATGATTCCCAAATGATTTACTGATTCCAAACATGGCAGTTTATTGTTTGAAATGCTTGTGTTAAAGGAGAAGAAATTTTTTTTTAAAGCACTGTACATGCCATTGCAGAGGAAGATAGTTTATTTTCTTTGGAGGAAGTAAGAGCAGACTTTCTTCTTCCTTAAAAAGTACTTACTTTTCTGCCAAAGCAGAAAGCATGAAGCAGAAAACAAAGGACAGTTGACAGAATTCATTTTTATATTATTTATTTTAAAAATTGGCTGCTCATCTTAAGCAATTCTGGGAAGCTTATTTGTTTATTAATTTAAAAGATTTACAAGGCCGCCCCTCTTACTGAAGATGCTTGATTCCAACTGCAACCTGGAGGTGTTTATAAATGCAATGGAAGGCATCGCTGCAGTGAGTGAAAAGTC